AAATATACGAGTCGCATACAGCCCTTTCCTTAGAAATCATTGCTTTCCACTAACCCAATATTAGTTTGGCCCATCACAAGATCACTGCCTAGCCATCTCAACTTAATACTCAACCCCTCGCGAACCCCTTCGTCTCCCCCCACTTCCTAACCTTCCCATCCAAATCACTCCCTACAAATCCCCAAATCACACTCGTGCCCCAAGTTATCAACGTATCCAACACCCAGTTTCCCCTCTTACTTCCACCCCAAGCACAAGCTCTCATCATACTTCCCAACCAACCTACTGTAATCAAATACTCTCCTCTTTCCAGTCCCTTAATCGCATTACTCGCGACTTCATCTGGTGTTTGTATTGGATCTGTCTCTTCCAAAAGATGTGTAACTTCCGGTTTTCCTTGGTTTTCAATTTCTAATCCTGGACTTGCTATTGTGCCGGGGAAAACTGTATGGATTTGAGGAGGATTGGGATACATGAGGACTTCTTGATATAAAGTATCGCTTAAACTCTTGATGGCTGCTTTAGCGGGTGAATATGATGTGTAACCCACGATGGAATAAAAAGCCACAACACTACTAGTGAAAATTAAATGTCTTTCTTTCTTTTCCACGTTTGGTGTAGAGAGCCAGGATTTCAAAACACAATGTGCCATGTCTGCACAAGACCAATAGTTGATATCCATTTGTGTGCGTAGTTTTTGGGGAGTAGTTTCGAGGAAGAAACCAGGTGTAGATGTACCGGCGATACACCAGACAATGTCAGGAGGCGTAGAGGAATTGAGTTTTATGGCTTCTTCGAGTATACGTGCAGCTTCAGTTGGGATAGAAACGTCGGCAGAGATGTAGTGGAAGAATTGGGTAGATGGGAAGAGAGCTGCGGCCTGTGAATGTTAATTGAGCTCATCAAAACTTTGGCAAACATAAAGTCGTCCCCCTTCCCAATCGCCCACTCATCATTTTCTCCTGCTCATTCCACCTTCTCCTTCACCAATTCCTCAACCTCGTCCATCTTATCAAATGCTCTCCCTATTTCCTCATCTACAATTGTGCCGCCCAATTGCAGTTCTCGCCATTCAATGCCGAATCCTTCCTCCCCCCTTTCCCTCCCCTCACCTTCTCCCCCCCTAAACCAGGCCCTCCCAAAGAAAAAAGAAACACACGACCACCCCCCAAAACTCACCTCAATCTCCCGCAAAGCCATCTCCAATTTCCCCACATTCCTCGCCACATTAATAACATTCGCCCCCTTCCGCGCCAACTGAATCGCAACACTCTTCCCCATTCCCTCCGAAGCGCCCGTCAGAAGGACAGTCTACCATCATATAATAAATTAGCACACATATCATATTATATCATATTATATATTCCCTTCATCTACTCTAGCAATTTAAGCCTAGGGAGAGAAAGAGAAAGAAGTAGTACATCAGGAGAGAAGAGATAAGTAGAAAATAAGCAATCCACCAGCCAAAGAAAAAGAGAAGGAAAAAATCATAAGACTGGCTTTGGCTTACCTTCCCCTTAACCACAAACTTATTTCCCCCCAACCCCAAAAACCCCATAATTCCAGGTAGCAGAAGCGCAATTCCAATTCCTAGCGCTGCGAGCGTCCAATTATTAACGTAATTGAAATAATCGAAATAATCAAGTATAGACATAATACTGATTAATTGATGCTTCCCCGATGGTGCGCAACACAGTCTAACGATTAAGTTGGATAAGGTAAGTCGCGATGTGATGTGATGTGATGTTGGTGTCGCGAATTTTGAAAATGAGCGGGAAGCGGAGAATGCGATAAGGATAAGAATGCGCGAGGAACGATAAGAGAGAGGGGAGGGGTTATGTTCCTACTGTACCTCCCTACCTACCTAGTACGCCTACTAGACGAAACAGGATAGGATAACCCGAGTAGCTAGAAAAGCAAAAGGGAGTTCCCGCTGTCAATCAATTCATTAGCTAGGAACTTTAGAGAAGGAACATGGATTTTGGTAGTAAGCTTCGTTGAAACTTAATACAAGGCGTAGGCTAGATAGATGTTCATGATGATCTTTCACACAGTTCGTTGCCTGTGGTTGGAATCTCATTAGAATCTTAATTGTTAGTCTTATTTTGAGAATCATATCACTGCTCAAGTCATTATCATTGTCACTTTACCCCATTCACGATGTATATCAACTAATTATGATGTTTTTTTTTACTTCAATGTCAATAGCCGTTGGCAGCTAGCTAACTACCGATTGCAGGCTACTCTTAACAGATCCATCTCCATCCCATTCAAGCAAGCCTGCTGGATTTTGATTTTGATCACGAAAGAATGCATCAATAAATTTGAGCTTGGCATGCCTAAAAGCTTAACATTCACCGTAACCATGGCCTCTTAAATTTGTTGGCATAGATGCCACTATATCCACCAACGCCTTGTAATCGCCCAATAAAAAAAGTGAAAAAAAAACATATTCATCCATGAACGCCACTTTCTGGTCCATGGAAAAGCCTGTATCAATCCATTTCGGAAACGCCTTTTTGTCCATGTAATGGGTATCATCCTTCCCTCCCCGATGCAAATCGCAAATAAACATAAATGATATCTTAAAAAGGATATAAAGATTTTGCATATCAGTCTGTTCTCTTTCGAGTAAGAACAGGTCGCTTCCTCCTATTCGCAACAGGTGCCATGCCTACGAAGGTTTCATCAGATTCATTACCAACGCGATCATAACGTTCGTGACCGACAGTGATAAGTTTGACGATATTTCCCAATGCAACAACGATACTATTCGTACCGACTTTCGTGACGGGACCAAGTTTACCAACGAGCAAGACCTGATCGTATACTGAATTTAATGGCACCGATGTCTCATCCCCCCTCGATCCCAAACTCCAAACCTCCCAGCCATCATTTTTTCCTTCCGGATGGCCATTATGGGATTTCCTGTCAGAAACACCACGTCGTCGAAGCCCACCACCTCCAATAGATCCCGAAAGTTGATTGCCCGTCGCTTGTTTGTTTTGATCCTGCAACTTCCGCACACCTACCACATAGCCTGATTGAAGTGCTTGCCAATCACCCGGATTCTCAATGCTATACCTCCGCTCTACCGTCTCGCGCCATAAACAGCATGTTTTAGAACCTGGTTTATCAGGGTCGCGGAAGCATATAGTATCGCCTTCCCTGCTAGGCAAATACGATTGCATCATAAGATTGCCGGTCTCTATGCAAGTATACATAAATGAAAATGAACCCAACCCGACCGAACCACATTGTGGCCTGCGTCTTGTCGAATGAACACATTGTAGTGTTCCAGGCTTGATATTCTCAGTAACAAAGGAATGAGTCACATTATGAGTATAAATGTCGACAAGATCAACACTGTGGTCGCGTATAGCCAGGAAGGAAGACAATGCCGGTAATGGAAGGATGGAATTGACATCTTTGTCGTCTGATACCCAAGGAAGCCTGAGATCATATGAGACCCAACCAGAGGTTTCTTGAACCGCAACATGGACACACCCACGTTTTGATGCAGTGATGATTTTTGGAGGCGGTACGCAGCCATTTGTAACGACTTTCTCTAGATGTGGCTCAACACAAACGAGTGGGGTGCGACATATCTGTAATTCCTTCGCAACATCATCTTCCATGTGAAGTTCTGTCATCAGACCATTATGGCGCACGATGATAACTGGATCGATCAGTTCAACCTCATTGTGGCTGAAGAAAAAAGCCTCTGGTGTTCGTCCTTTGACATCTACGGCCATTGTCGGGCCCCATCTTCGTTCGGGGATATTCCACAAGGCGACCATTTTCTTCGAAAGTATCGCGAGCCAGTTGGAATCGTTGTCGATGGCCATGGCTAAAACAGGAAATGGATCAATATTGGATCCGGGATCTTCAACTACATAACTCCTGCCAGCATGCTGTGCATTCCAAACACGGATCCATCTGTCCAGACCGACTGAAACGATAATTCCATCTCGAGAAGCTGTCATTAGGACAACATCCAGAGCATGACCAGAGCCAAATGTTTTAACCGATAATAGGGGTTCATCACCGTGACCTTCGTGGTTTTCATCGTCAGATGGTTCATCAGACAAAAGATATTTGATGAATTGATTGACAGCCACGCCAGTGATGAAAACAAACAAGAGAAAGTGGAGGGACTGATTTTCGATAAAGTCATAGAACGCCGGGAGAAATGATCTGACACCAAGTGTATTTGGAGTTCGGTCTGAGCCGTTCAATACAAAAACTAGAGGATCATAAACTTGAGCAACAAAACTATGAGCATGCGGTTTGATAATGCTTATAAGTTCATGGACAGTTTCATGATCTTGTAATCGAAGCCAGGCAGTCGGAGTTCTAGCTTGATGAATGTCGACCTCTAGAACTGATGAAGAAGCTGTCGATGCTGTGCGCAATAAATGTTTGCTGCTTTGTAAAATGCCTTCGTCGAAGTGCCACTGGCATATTAGCACTGCAAAAATGAGTACCAAGGTACCGACCATACGAGTCGAAGGCATTCTTCCCCCATGAAGGATGAAATCTACCCATGGTTTGGGAGATGGTCTCTCTGGTGATGAATAACGTCGTTCCCGAGAAGCCGACAACGTGTCATTCAGTTGAGGCCTTCGCACATCAATGCTTAGGACAGGAGCAAAGAACATTAGTAGATAGAAGAAATCAAAAACTAATGCAAGCGTAGCAAATCGACAGAAAGTAGCCAGTCCCTCGCCTCCAAGTTTTGATACAATCCACAAGAATAAAAGTCTTTGGCCTGTGTTTGCAAGGAATATATGACCATTCTTTCCAAAAGCTTCCGCTGACCTAAGAGTCGGGTGATGTGAAGAGGGCGTGATGATAACAGCTCTGACAAGTTGAAGCATGTTTTCGGTACCGCAAAAAACCACAATTAAAGGGTAGTATTCTCTTGGGATCATAGATAGATCGGTTTTGACAATAGCGCAGATTGTGAATGTCGAAGTAAATGTAAATGCCAATTGAGTAGTGGCGGCAATGAGAAGACCCAGTCTTGATTTGAGAGCTCGCAAACCCCATAAAGTTGCTACAAACCACCATGCGCCCATGGCATACGCGACGGCCAATGCAAGGAATTCCCAAGTGGCAGTGGGCTGAAACAAAAATTCGTAGGGGGTGCTTGTTATGGAACGACCATCAGAAGGAATTAGGCGCCACTTGTCGGATCCCTTGGCTGCTAATTGAGCTGCTCTTCGTTCCCAATATTTCCCGACTGGGGAATCCAGCATGTGAGCTAAGGTTATGACCAATGCATCTGCAGCCACTAACCGGTGGTCCTCAAAGCGCTTGCCACTGAAGACAATAGAATGTCTCAGGGTAATATTGACCGAGGTTGATTGGTGTAGATTTTTGTTGACTGTCATTATGATGTCGTCATCGGCTGAGATAGCATCCTTCGAGCATGACCAATATTGTAGAGGGGAATGAAAGAACCAAGATGAGTTTGATAGACCATTGACTGCGTGAAGGGCGTCCCGGGTACCTACTGACATTTCATTCTGTGTATCGTCAATCTGGACTTGGTTAAGTGCTCTGCGAGGGTTAAAGTCGACAGTGGGGCCCAAAATATTATCCTGTATCTCCAATGCTGCTTGGAGAACATCTGATTGTAAGGCCTTCATATAGCTCCCTATCCCAGTATTAGCCTCCCTTCCTTCACGATCCGAGAAAATAACACACCATGTACCCAAATCGATCGCATAACCACATCCGGTTTCCTGGTATCGTCCAATGCCTTGAGGGGTTGCGCTGAAGACCAGACATGGTGTGGTAGATTTGATGCGCCACTTGTAAAGTCATTCGTGAACAGGAATGGGAAGGGGTAGATGAGTAATGTTGCGACGATAGCAGAGATAGTGATTGCGGCGACTGAATGCTTTGCGACATTGTATCCAAAACGAGTAAATCGGTCTCGAATAGGATGTTTATGATCAAGATCTGGAGGTTCCGTAGTTCTGACAGACAAGCATGATTAGAGTTACGAGCTCCGGACAAGCTTGATCATTAATTAAATCACTTACCCTCTAAATGGATAAAGGAGGTACCAAATCATGGTGACGAGGGATCGTCCTTGACCTTGACCTTGATCTTGCCAACCACACACCAAGTATGGCGGCGGTATCTTTCTTTCAAAAACTTCGATGAGGGGGTTGCCGTGGACAGATGCGCCAGCTTCTTTAATTTCGGTTGTCAATTGATTTTAGATAGTATGAGAATTATCACAGATATGGTGGTGTACGCAGATAGTGGTGGAATTGAAATTATTAGCGTCGTGTGAATTCTCGATCATGGTGTTATCGCATGTACCAAAAAGTGTGTGATATGGTGTGGCGGGCGGTAGAGGCGAATCGGGAGATGTGGGACCTTGAAAGGTTTGAGGCACCTCAAAATTGAATTGCTGACATATTTGAATCAAGTGAATGGATGGTACTGGGTCGATCTTTGTTTGATGTTGAAATTTGAAGGGACAGTTGGAGGAGTAGTGATCAAGAGTCGAGATTCGAGTGAATGAATGAATAATGTATGTATGGATGTATGGATGTATGGGTGTATGAGTGTATGGATAGATGTATGTATGTATCAAAATAAATGAAGAAATCGAATCGAATCGAATTACCAATAAAAAAGTATATTAAACCCAAGTTCAGCTTTGTCCTCTTTTTTTTTCATCTAATGCTGTAAGTTTGTTGTCATTTTCATCAAAATTTGAAATTATCGAAATGATCTGTATGATCTGTATGGTCCTGTGTGGTCCTGTGTGGCATAGCGGGAGTTAGCGTACCTACTTAGGGTCGCAATAGAGCAAATATTGCCAAAAAGTTTAGGTAGTGTGGGCAAGAAGTCCCTCTTCCGGGGGCCAAGGGAAAATTATACTAACCTTGTCAGTCGCTATGTAAAGTACGTGGGCTCCTCTTTTTCCCTCGGACACTCTCCAAAACCGAGCAAATCAAACGGGTTGATATTTACTTGGGTCCTTTCGATGATTACTACTGTACTCTGTAGAAAGTTAAAAAGTTGAAGAAGATTGAACAAGAACGGCCAATAAATGACCGATGATTAAAAGTCCTTGAAACAATGCACGGTAGAGAACTCTTCCTTGCAATGCGATCGTGAATCGTGAACCGGTCCAAGTCCAGAAGAAGGTAGAACCTTAAAATACGGGAATATAGAATGAAGTGCAGAAGAGCTGCAGAACGGTATAACGGCGGGTGAACTTTTAACAGTCGAATCGCGGATGATAATGTGCCGATATGGACAATGTACACCCTTTCTTCTCTCTCGATGTCTCTCTTCTTCTCAAGAGTCTACCTCTCTCAGACTCCCTCTCAGACAACTCTCTCTCACACACACACACACACACTCTCTCTCTCTCTCTCTGTCTCTTGCGGAATCCCTCTCTCTTTTCTCCTTCTCTTCTTCCTCCTTTCTTCCTTTCTTATCCTCTTTCACGCTTTGTCGATTCCTGCTCATGCCATGCATGAACTCGGCATAGAAAGGGTTCCCATTCGAATGGTAATTAATAATAACCGGACGCGGGATTATGTTACTTCCGAGGCTTCAAACGGGTGAAATAAATCCAATGACCTTGTCGAGCTGCGAAGAGAGGTTTGAGATATTTTGGATATGATAGCACAGCCAGCGGTATTGTCTCTAGGAATAAATGACTCTCTCACAGTGTGGAACAGGTCCTTTACCCCGAATTCAGACCAATTTCGTATGCGAAGTTTCGAACCTTGGATACTCTGATTGTACAACGTTCGTCCTCTTCTTGTACGGTTGGCTATTTGTTGCTTGGTATCGATGATCGATGATCGACTTGGTGTATCTGCTTTTTCGTTTCTGGAATTATGATGGAGGACAATAAAAGCCTAGGAAATCTTGGATAAAACGACCATATTAAATCTTGTACTTACGAAAAGTAACTTGTGTTTCCTTTCTCATTTTCTTTCATTCTCACTCGAACACTCATACCTACCGACAAGCCTCCTCGAACTAGCTTTTTCCATGAGTAACGAATCATATTGGGCTGAAGTGAAGTTAGAACATTTCTCAACGTCAGACTTTTCTAGTGAACCTATGGTAAAGTTCGATGAGTTCATGGTAACGAGGGGCTAAGATGTGGCTGCCAGGTGCATTGCATTTGCGAAAGGGTATGACTGAGGGATGGAGGGAGGGAGGGAGATAATTGTTCAATGGGAAAGGGACGGAGAAATGCAAGCAAGCAGGCAGGCCCTTTCTGAGATGAGGTTACAGCAACAGATCGCATCAATTAGAAAATGTGAAATGCGAAATGCGAAATGCGAAAGGTGAAATGTGAAATGTTCGTACAAAGTGGGCGTCCTCTAGATCTATATCATTCCTTCTTCTTTAGAGTAATTTTTAGTCTTCTTTTCTTCTTTTCTTCTTGTCTAGATTCATTTTAATCATCGTATGCTTTTTGGCATTCTGACATGTCCATCGCCTGATTTTGACGGCAGTTATATTGACCGACGGCCCAACCAGAGCTGTTACACACAGCTTCATTATACATTTCTGGGCCCGCATGAAGATCAAAGAACCGAATCGGGAAATTTCACTTCAAATCCCAATTAAATATCCTTAAATTTCCCCAAAATTTAACTCTTTTAAGATTTAAGATAGGAACCCACCAATAATTGATTATTAGGTTGGTTGAGTTGACTGGATGGATTGATTGGTGTTTTATCATCTGGGCCTGAATTGATACTACGGAGTAATACCAAATGCGGGGAGATATTGCACTGTGGGGATGATCTATGGAGTAAGGTAAGTATCTAATATCAGTGGTAGGTAGAGGAAGAGGGAAGAGGGAAGAGGTAGGAGATGGGAAGTAGAACCTAAAAGATAAAAAGGTAGGAGGTAGAAGGTAGAAGGGAAGATCTTACAAAGTAGAAAATAGAAAATATGAAGTATGAGGTATATAATAAATGGTAAAAGATAGGATATAGGATGTTGGAGGTAGGAGGTACGAGGTAAGAGATAGATATTCAGCGATAATAAAGTACCAACTGCTAACTGCTGACTCTCTTTCCCCATTCTGTCATTTGCATTGCTAAATATCCAAAGGCAGATATTCACATTCCATTTCACCTACTTATCATTCAAAGACTCCTTGAAGGACAGTGCAATTTCGACATTCTTAACCAAATACCTAGGTACACCAGGTAGATAGTGGAGTAATGAAGATATTCCTACATCAATATAGATCCATGAGTAGAATGAACGGACCAATGACCTGTCGCCGCCTTATATAAATATCTTGAAGGATTTGCCAGTACTTGGTGCGTGTCTTGGTATTGTGGCGTCTACAGGGAACAGACAACATCTGGATCCTGCAAACACCCGATTCCAAGACCTTTTCCAGCCTTCGAGCTAGGACATTCAGAACATTTGTCAGGTGCAAGCCGTACCGATTAAGCCTCACAGGCGACATGAAGGTTATGACTGAGTTGACAATCAATCAATCAATCAATCAATCAAGCAATCAATCCTGCCAGATACTTCATCGGAATCGCTTCAAGGATTGTGCCCAAGGAATGAGTGTGTGAAGGACTCATGGGACCCGGAGACCGCCTTTCGAAACTAAAAAGAACTTTTCTCGACAGGACTCAATATTCAACCAATATTGCTTACGCCCTGATAGCCCTGGTCTCAAGTTCTTCCACAATCAATTGTATCTCCTTCAGCTAATACCAGTCACGATATGCATCCATCACAGCATCAAATATATAACAAGAGAATGCAAAGTATCGCTCTTTGTACTTCAAAGCCGTGCTTTCATCACTATGACATGATTGCGACTGGCTTCTGAACTCACGGCTATGGGTGTACATGTATTTTTAGTACCGGTACCGTACTCATGGGAAGCATGGTATGCGAACGCGAATCATAATTTAGAACGGATACCAACCTTCATAGGGCTGGCTTTGCATATACATAGCATATCTCTAAGCGCCGCATCTCAGTGGTCTGAAGTCTAGAACTGGTGGAAACAAGTGCCACCATCGTCACTTCGTACTTAATCATGTGTACATACCCCCATCACCAAGTCCATTCCTGTCGCAAACCATTGCAGCCGTTTGTAAGTGGGGCTTGGATATCACCAAGTTCTCTGTGACTGTTCTTGGATACAGTGTAGATACCGTACTTCGAGTGATAGTACGTATGCACATCGTTTCGTCGAATATGGATAGGTTTCACTGCTTAATGAGCAATCAGGTGATATTCCAATACATGACATCGAATTAGGAGGTAGGTGACATTTTCTGCCACCATTCACGAGGATATAATATTTTATTATTATTGCATCTCATTTGAGCTCAGTTAAGTACAAACACTTCTTTTAGTATTTCGTACTTTCCAAAGTTGGATGAGGCACGATCCTGCACGCCAAACCAAGGTCGCTCCTCCCATATCTACTCCTTCGATCAATATATAACGTTTCGGCTTTCTTCCCCAGGCTCTTCTTTCCTTTGACTTCTCTCCCCCAACCACCCACCTTTATTCCATACACCTATCTCAGCATGGTTGCCAATTAATTATCATCTCGTGGCATAATGCACTTCCACAACCTACAATATCCTTCGTTATACCTAGAAACACATTTAATACATTCAACCCGAAAAACATTACATCGTTACAGAAAGAGTCGTCACTTTCGTTATAGATGAGAATGGACTCTTATGGTCCATCGATACTGGCAACAACAATCCTCTTCCTTGTTCTTGGTGTTGTTGTTGTCTCGCTTCGTTATTACACTCGAGTTGTCATTCGAAATACCATTGGTCACGATGACTTTCTCATTCTCTTCGCTCTGGTAAGGTAGACCTCCAGATCAAGTATCTACTATTCTGACTTGGCCGTTCAGGGCCTCTATATGGTGATGGCGTCACTACTTTTCGTTGGCGTTCAACGGGGCATTGGTCAACATAAGAAAGGACTGGATACAGATGACATTGTCGAAAGCTCCAAGGTTGTGACACTACCTTCCTGATTATACATCAAACTAACGACCAACAGTACGTCTGGCTAACAGTCTTAATTTACATCAATGCTGTCACCGCGGTTAAAGCTTCCTACGCCACTTGTCTCCTTCGCCTGACTGAGGTTAGCCCTTGCGCGTACGCTCTCTGGGCTGGGCTTGCTATCAACGTCATTCTTTGCTTCATAGCAAGCTTTTACTTAATCTTCAATTGCCGGCCAATCTCATATGCTTGGACGCAGGGCGATTCGACTGTCGATGGATATTGTAACTACGACTCAGCAGATGCTCTAGGGTATGCATGGGCAGGACTTTCTCTTGCACTATACCTCCTCTTTACCCTCGTTCCAGTCGCATTAGTTTGGGATATGCAAATGCATATAAAAACCAAGACATTTGTCGTCACTGTTTTGGGATTAGGGTTACTGTGAGTGGTACATAATTATCATCTAAGTTGTGCTTTCGCTGACCTTGCGCCAGTGCAGGTGTTGCGTGCGCTGTGCGCATCGGAGTGTTTGCGGTGGATTTAGATTATACCGATCCCCTTTGTTCGACGATTCGTCCCATTATCTTACTTGAGAAGACTAATAAATATTTATAGATTCCATATCCCCGATGCTCATTTGGTCTGTGGTGGAAGCCGGCCTAGGAATCGTTGCTAGCTGCATTGCAACATTAAGACCCTTACTTCGACACTACAACATTCAAGGCTTAGAAGAGATTGAGCTCGAAGGCGAGGTTGGACACGGTGAGCCTGGACAGGAAGACGGCCGTCGAGCATACAAGATGTCAACCGTATCCCAGATCCTCAACAAGTTTACCGGTCACGGTGCACATACGGTTACAGTGATCCATCAAGGAAGTGTAGCTACTATCCCTGGGCATGGTCAAATCAAGGAAAGAAAGACGTATAACATTTCTACTCTTCAGAGAAGTTCGGTGGACATGCAACATGATCGAGAAATGCAAGGAACTGCTGGCAAAGTTCCGGAACCGGATGATGTGAATACTGGCGGTTGGTAACGAACAGACAAGGCTCAGAATGATTGTGAGGGCGTGGTGAAATTGGTCTTCAAGAGGATAAGAAGTTGGTCAGGGATACCTTTAACATTCAGGTTACAGAACTGTTTTGATAAATGCGAATAAATTCTTGAGCATCTGCATTCATTGGAAATTCGTTAACAATTTTAATAGACAAAAAAACCGCTACTCGTAAGCAATCATATACATTCTTGCTGAAGTCCTGCTTTATAAATTTATAGGTAATTTTGACTAAATCAGAGTGTGCTGAGTGAGTCTAGGGTAATATTCGGCATTATCGATCGGACATCCCAACGAACCTTAACAGGGGAAATAAGGTTATCGCGTACCCCTTAGCCAGGGGCAGAAAAGGAGAATATCCTGTCGCCATTCTTTTGCCCAGCCGGAAATCCCATATCGGGCTAGAAAGTCGGTGGACTCGGGTGGATTTCCAAGCTTATATCAAATTGAACTAGATTTACACAAATAAAGAGGTTGGGATATAGGGGGTTACGTTTGTGGGGCAGAGTGGTTTTACCACCAATGGGGTTTTGTGATGTTTGGCTTTGAACGGTTTACGAAAAGTATCCGATAACGTTTTTGGATATGTCGGGTAAGCTGGCGATGGAACCTCTGCTAATGGTAATACTACATGGTGCGAAACCCTAGGAACAATGTGAGGTTTATAGTGTGTGCAATGTCCATGCACGGCAAGTTACGCTTTTTTGTCATGTTAGGTTTTTGACCGCACTTGTCTCCGAGATGGTACCTTTTCGGCATGCACGGAGACTATGGGGTGATAATTAAGAGTTCAAGCTTATTCTTATCACGGAGATTGAACATGATGTGGGTATTGGCGGTTCGATAAGTTTGTATAAAGGGATGATTCCAGTGGTCATTCCTGTCTGGTCGCGAGATCGTCAGACGGAACTCACGCTTCATTCAATATGTTCATCTCCAATTCCCTTGTCCTCGCATTCGCGAGCACTCAAGTTCTTGCCTCCAGACTCTTTGTTGCATCGTATGCCGGGACTGTTAGTACATTGTCTCTAACGGAAGATGCAAGTGGTGCATATTCATTGGGTCTCATTGCGACATCCACAGCTTGCGCTGCTAATTCATCGTGGATTACTAAGGACTCTGAACGTGATGTTTTGTTCTGTGCGGACAGAGGTTTGACTTCGGACCATGGAACTCTGAATTCTTTGCAAATTCAAAGTGATGGCTCGTTGAAGGCTTTGGATAGAATTCAGACGCCAGTGGGTGCGGCCGCAACGGTGTTGTATGCGAACAATACCGGGTTGGCAGTGGCTTTCTAGTAAGATTCCTCGACAATATTAGCTACATTTTTTAGGAAGTCGTTCTAATAGAATGAACTATAGTTCTTCGAGTAGCGTAGGCAGTTACGATGTCACGTCAGACACCAACATGCTCCCCCTCCAAACCTTCACCTACAATCTCACCACCCCGGGTGCAGACCCAGAGTACGAAACAGCACCACATCCCCATGAAGCCATTACCGACCCCACCGGACGTTTCGTCCTCGTTCCAGATCTCGGCGCTGATCTCGTGAGACTCTACTATATCAACCCAAAAACCAAGTTGTTGGAACCACTTGCCCCATTGAAAACACCTACTGGTAGCGGACCCAGACATGGAAACTGGCTGGTTACGAAATCCGCAACTTACTTTTATTTGGTCAGCCAATTGACCAATAAACTTACCGCTTACAAGGTTACATATAACAGCAACAATACTTTGAGCTTTGCCGTAAAGTTCACAAGAACTTTGTTAGAGACCACTACCCCAGGTCAAGAATTGCAGTTCTACAGCGCCGCGTCCGGAATCCAGATTACGGTATGTTTAGATCACACTTTTTTTTCCTCTTCTATTCATAGAAATCATCCCGCAAATTGCAAGATATCAAAATACTAACACCACCTAGCCCGACAACAACTTCCTCATCATCTCCCAACGCAACGACACCCACTTCAGCATTCCCGACCCTTCGTCATCCTCCTCCACACCAAGTACCATCCCCTCTGATTCCCTCCTCACCTATTCCCTCAACCATAACAATGGTAACTTCTCGCTCATCTCCATTGATGCTGCTGGTGGTAGCTTCCCTAGACAATTCAGCATCAACAAGGCTGGAGATTTGGTAGCTGTAGGCTTGCAAAATGATGGGAGATTGGTCATTATCAAGAGAGATGTGCAGACTGGAAAGGGATTGGAAATCGTAGCGGCTATGGACATAGCCGGACAGGTTGTTTGTGCTGTTTGGGATGAGTAAGTAAAAAGAAAGTTCGGGTGTGGAGTTGGAAGGAGGAGCTTGGTTGTGTAGATACATTGTGTTGTAGGAATGTAGTCTTGAAGTAACGTGTTTGTCACACTCGGATTAGTCTCTTGGCATATATTTGAAATGTGAAATTACTTTGGCAATATCCTAATCGGCAATTCTTAATGCTGTTTATTCTTGATGTTTGCCTTCTGTCTGCTTACCCTAATCTTTCCATTGTCCGTTCCCGAGAAGCATGTACTGCGGTAGTTACCCAGAGTCAATCGTTGACTATGCGACTACAAGCAGTTGATTCTTTTTAATTACAGAGATTCTCCAAGCACATCTCAATTGAGCGAGGTCTTTAAACATCGTTAATGCTTTTGCAAGGATCAATTAGACTCCTACTGGCCCCCTCAGTGCAAACCAATTCCTTGCATTCAGATACTTCAAAGAATATAAAGAAACTGGTCTACGAATATTTTAAATGGTACTCAGACTTCAATGCCAAAGCTGGGCAATTGAATGAATATCATGTGTTAAATAGACGCCGTGAAGCTTGATTAACCTTACCCTGGTCTACTAAACAAGAATAATTAAACTCATTTAAAGAGTTTGATAGCTTTGAATGTCACAGGATAATTTAGATTAGTTTTGACCTAAAGCGAGATTTACTATGAGATTCGGGGACTTGAGTGGGTCGAATAACTTCCTGGTTGAATAGCTTCACCACCAGCAAGGATGGAAATTTTATCAACATAAAGTCCGAGGAACAAAGAAAACAAAATGTGCTTTATAAACCAAGGTACCAATTATTATAACTGCTTTATCCAGGACAACAAGATGAAGAGTTCGGTTCTCGTATTTCATGGCACTTGCCTCCTATTGTTCGTTACTATTGTTCTTCAATCCCTTTTCGCGAAAATGTATAGAAAGAAAAGGTATCGTAGAGCTTCCAGTAGAATATATACATTACCCTTAGAGATATTGATTTCTTGGACAATCCTGTGAAGCATTACGCAATTCTATATCATTCATTAAAGTTGATTTTGATATGAAATCATGCCTTCAGAAAAGCACACCACAGACGACCACAATGTCATTATCATCGGTGCAGGATGGCAGGGAATTGCTGCTGCTAGAACATACCTACAGCTCAAGCCCAATGTTAAATTAACCATAATTGACTCGGATAGCAGCATCGGTGGAGTCTGGAGTATCGATCGAAGTTACCCTGGACTCATTGCCGATAGTCCAGTGGGTTGCTACGAGTTCTCCGATATGTGCATGGACGAGGATCCGGAATTGAAAATGTGGAATACTATTCCTGGTCACAAGGTTGGAGAGTATCTTCGCAAGTTTTCGAAGAGATTTCATATTGATGAACATCTACGCTTGAATACGAGAGTTCTTTCGGCGACTTCTGAACGGGGAATCAACGGAGTAAGTAGGTGGATTTTGGAGGTCCAGACAAAAGACAAAGGAAAAGAAATCCTCAACTGCGATAAATTGATTGTGGCCAGTGGCCCTTCTTCGGATCCAAGGATGCCAGATCTCGACACAAGTCAATTTAATGGACCTTTTTTCCACTCTCTGTATCTTGGTGCTCGACATGCAGAGCTTACTGCCGATAATATCAAACATGTAACTGTGGTTGGAGGTAACAAATCTGCCGCTGAGGTCGTCAATCTATGCGCATCAGCGGGAAAGAAGGTTACCTGGTTAATACGAGAGGGTGGTGCTGGTCCAGGAATGCTTATACAGGTAAGGTCAGGAGGAGTACACACAGCGGCCATTGCATTCTCCAGATGGGCGGGTCTAACAGTTCCATGTTTGTTAAGAACTCACGGGTTTTGGTATTGGCTTTTGCATAGTGGATTCTTTTGGCCTGGTATTTGGTTGATTGGGAAATATTGGGAGTGGGCTTCCCAATACATGTTCAAAGGTCTTTATGATCAGAGTGAGAATGCTAAGAAAATTTCTCCAGATTGCCAACAGTAAGATATCCGCACAAATTTATATTTCGTTTTACTAATGACGAATAGTCTCTTCTGGTCTACATCTGCACCCTCTTTTCTTCAAGGAGACAGTACTTTATTCGAGAAACTAAACGCAGGGATACTGATAGATGTCCAACGCACACATATAACAAAGGCTCATTCCAACAGTGTCACTCTCGACAATGGTACCCAGCTTGCTACAGACGCATTGGTCTTTGCCACAGGATGGAATCTGACATATTCTAAATTCTTCTCGCCTGAAGCACGTCTCGAGCTAGACCTTCCAATCCCCTTTGGTGAAGAACCTCCCGCTCTTAAAGCATATTGGAAGGAACTTGACACGGAAGCTGATCAATGGGTTCATAAAACATTCCCTTTCTTGTCTAATCCGCCCAAGACCAATGAAGCTCCGCCGGAAAATACACCGTATCATCTCTATCGTCAATCTATTCCTCCAGCACTTGCAACTCGCAACGACCGTTCCATTGTCTTCCTCGGCGTTCTAGCATCTCCTCAGATCCCTACATATGCTGAGCTTTCTGCCCTCTGGAGCATTGCTTATCTCGAAAACATGCATTCCCTTGAGGTGGATAAAGTTTTCAATGATAAATTGACAATGGATCTAGATACCGCTCGAACCAATGCATTTATGAAGTGGAGATATAGAAGAGCGGGAATCATTGAACCAAACGTGGGAGCGGAGGTTCAAGATCTTTGTGATTTACTGTGTGCTGAATTGGGGGTAGAAGGAAAGAGGAAGGAAATGGTTGGAGGGTGGAAAGCGTCATGGAATGAGTGGTTCTCGCCGTATAGAAGTGTGGATTATAAAGGTATTGTAGGTGAATTTTTAGAGGTGGTTAGAAAAAGAGAGGAAGCAAAGGCGAAAACTGAGTAGAGAATTTTGGAGTTTGATCTACGTGTAGTTAAAAGATGGATTTTCATTCTCTTCATTAAATCGATATAGAAAAGGCGCTTACAATACTTTGACTTGCATAGTATATTTTGCTTCAAATTTTGAGTGACTCGGAAAGGGAATTGGATTTCATCACTTACCGCAAATACATCATACTAAATTTGAATCTTCTCCTACGAAGATGTGTTTTAGTCGATCAAATGCGTCGTGGAGACTCTGTAAAAGGTAGAACATCTCCTTCATGTGAAAGAAAGTCTCTTCCTGCCGACAGCGGACGCCAGGATGATAAGGGAGACGTAAAAGCTTCGCCCGTTTGATCTAACTAGCTGACTGGCCACTCATTTGTGAGAGCATTCGACTTTCATAGGGAGGGTCTTTTACAAGAGAGAACCACAAAGTTTACAATAATACACATATCTCACATCCTTGCATTACGCGTTTGTGTCTGTGGAAGACAGATCACTGATCTCTCTCTTAATTGAGTATACGAAATAATATACGACGCCACTGATACACTTTTCGGAGCCATAGCTATGGATTCTCTCATCATTCATAGAACTCCAAGTTATGGGCAATGACTTTGACAAGAAATATATAAGGACAGAGCGTGTGATATGCAAATATCACTGTAGAACTAGAAGTTGTTATCATCCTGCAACTGATTGTGCTCAGTCTTCGTTGTCTTTTCTGCATAGTATCTTATGAGAAGTGGAACAAAATAGAATAGAATAAACAGTCGTTTCACAGGGAAAGGTAAAGTTATAAGATATGGATCATGACATCCGAACCGGTGTCCCTTCTTACTAAAGTACATTCATACACGTTAGATATGGTTGGTTGAGGCTCTTAACTTGAGCATCATACAGTAAGATATGCAACAAAAAGAATAGACGTTTAGACGCTTCCCCTCTAATTCAAAAGTGATTGCAACAATATTCACTCCTCAAACTGCTCTACATCCAATACTTCTTTCAAAATGTTTGCTGCTGTTCAAGATCAACTAAATCTCCTACATCTCAACAACAACAACATACTTATCAGTCGACAACTTCACAAACTTTTTCCTTTCTCATCAAATACTTGACACAGCCTTGTAAGCTTTGAGTGTTAAGCTCAAGGCTACACAATTTTTATTGTAGTAGAAAGATCCAAGGACACACTTCATAAGGATAAAAGATTTCCTTTCTGTCATCTTGAAGATTCACCTTGAGCTCAAAAACCTTGAAGTCCCAAATGACCTCCATACCGGACACACATCAAACAGCTTCAACTCATCCAAGTAGGAATTCAGCATCAAAATCACCACCAATCATTGTATCCTCTCTTTATCTGAAGAGATCCACTTGGAAAACCTCAGAATACCCATAATCTGACGGCATTGTGGCGTCGCTCAACAGATTTGAAAGTTTGTATAGAGTAGTGAATTCCAGGTTGCGGAGAGCAGGACTTTGACAACCTCAGTACATTACTCAGTTGGCCACTCAGCCAACACACAAGACTTACACAAAACTCACATCTTTGATGAACTGTGAGGATTTTCAAAGAATCCCAAAAGATATTAACAGTAGATCAAAGCTCGTTGAACCAAAGAATCACTCTGCTAGAAAGCAGGACAACCAGACACCAGACACCAGAAACCAAAATATTATGATATTCAAACAAGGAGATCACTCTAAGAAAGCCTAAACCACAGAATTCTCGAAATCATTCCAAAAATTACCATCCCTTCATGACAACCATCAGTCGCTTATTCACACACTTACTCCTAATGAAATTCCGCCACCTCAAGTATGTATCAAGAAGAGTGAATTTATATTCTGATCATACGTAGTACTTCGACTTACCTTTAGCTCCAACAAACTTTGCACTATCAAACACAAAATATTCCAAGGTACAGGAATCTTTGTATTCTTATCAAAACCATTCACATCCGACCCTATATATTTTACTAGTCTCCCAATACATCTAGCTGTCCACAAGCATCCATATCCACAATCCATATCCACACGCGAAAACGAGGTTCTTGACTTAAGGCTGTTCTTCCGAAAGAATGAAGTCTGGATGAACTCTCAAGAACAACATCATCATATCTCGGGCTCCATGTTTTACCTTGTTAAAAAGTTATCTGTCGTCGACGCCAATACTTCATAACGCATGACCCAAACTATTAGCTCAATTCACATTTTCAATCTTCCCACAATCCCAAGATTATATTAGTCCAAGATCTAGAAATTCACACAACCATATTTATTTACCCTGACCACGTGGATTTTGTTCTATCGATTAAACAAGGCTACGGTGCCAAAACATAGCTCTAATATTCTCTACCCTCGGAATTATCACGCGCCTTCTCGAGTATCATCGATCTAAGACGCGCTCTTGAGCCGTTTTGCTTACCTCTCACGACCTCATCACTCTGATCAGTCGCACTGCTTCAAACTGCTTCTCTGCCATTCGACTCACAGTATCCACTTTTTACAGTCGTTTCCAGCTCTTTCCAGCCGCCAAGACGATATCTGCCCTTGAATATCGAAATGCGACATCCACTCGCTTTGTTGGCGGTGGTTGTCGTCTTCCTGTGTTCCTTGCTATGCATGGCAGATAAGTCAAGTTCGAGTACCAGTTTAGATGTCCTAACCCTTACTTCATTCACTACCATTCAACCAAAACCCGTCATTATAACATCCTCGGAAGTATGCTTCCCGCACTGGCAAGAAGAGTGCATTCTCAGCTAATGAGTATCTTAGTATGTGACTCCAAGTACTAAGTCTCAAGGAGAATTTACCGTGACTGGAGCATTGGTCATAATATATACAAATTACCCGCCAAATGAGTCACCAGTAAGAGGAACTTCGACGGAGTTCCGCACTTTCACGTATCCGGGGCCAGTCGAGACAACATTCCCGACGGTTTCAACCAGGACCCTGAGCTTATCTATTCCGCAAACAGCCGCCACATCAAGTACTGAAAACAGCGGAACAGCACCATTGACATCGGATTCCTCATCGAAGACCAATACAAGTGGATCTGAAGTTATGCCTGTCTCTTCCACAACATCATCCTCGACCATAACATCTGTCACATCGCCATCAACATCAACACCATCCAACACGGGACATTATAAGTCAAGACAAATTTTGGTCATAATAATTCCTACCATTGTTGGTGCGGTTCTCGCTCTCGTAGCAATCGGCTTGCTTATATGGTGCTTACGTAGAAAGAACTTGAAGAAGAGAAATAATGATACACAAACCTTTATTGCACCACCGGAAGAAAACATGCATGATGGGCAGACTTCACACATAAACAAAGAGGATAGGGTATCCTTCCAAAGAATTAGCTTACGAAAGGACCGGGCAAGTTTCCTCGATACGTTAGGCTCGACGAGCAAAAAGTTATGGCCGTCTTGGCCTTTTGGTGAAAAGACAACCTTGGGCACTGATTCTATCAAACAAGCCATTATGGGAGCTGCGGTACCAGTTCCTTTAACACCATCACGACCCGTAAGGTCTTATGAGCAAGGACTGCAGTATGTCACCACCCCTCGACCAGCTGAGCTTCCCGGCGATTCCACGCTATTTCATAATAAAGCTTCGACTGTCCACCAATCAAAATCTCCCAATGGTACATCTATCGCTCCTTCAACTCCACCAAAGTTTCCACACAGAGATCCCAAGCTGAGCGGAAAAGAAACCACTAGGCATGTTTATGCTGAGCCGGAACGTCCTCAAGGTAAAACGAGCCTTGATGGATCAATACAGCCACATTGGTCAAATTATGACGGCCATATCTCAAATCATAGTTCTGAGCTTCATGGAGCGGTTCTATCCCCTTCTACGCCAGCTACAGCAGGACCCTGCGGCGGTAATCGGCAGATTTTCCCACCCTCGATCCCTAAACTTCGAAACAAATTGGTTACAACGCCAACCAAGAATTGGGTCGAGCCTCCATCAAGCTTTTCCACGCCGACGAACTCTACTTCGCCCAACACAAATTCCAGCGGTACACAACCTACTCCAAATAACTGGATCGAGCCGATATCCGACGCCACCACTGGAAATATAAATCGCTCATACAATGGCATGCCTCCTTTCCCGGCAGAAGCCGATGTCCTACGTACCGTTGCAGAACGCGATAATGCCCTCGCTATGTTGGAAGGAAGAGGAAAAGTATACGGAAAAGCCAACATTTCTGATATCTATGGCGAAGATAAAGAACACCGGTTTCGCGAAGAGGCCATGAAAAAAGCCGTAAAAAGAAGTCTAGCACGACGAGAAGAAATCCGGGCTAGATTTCCGTTCGCAGGTGCACCAGTACCGGGCACCGTTACTGACGATACCCACGATATTTCTTATACACCAACCGAGGACGGTTCGTCAATCCAGCGTGTTGATAAGGATAATGAAGATGGGGGGTGGATGTGAAGCAGTTAGGGGGTAATGATAATGAAGCCATAAATCGGAGGAGCATTTGCGGCGCTTGCGGATACCATGCTGAGCCGGTTCTCAAAAGACTTTTCCTACCTTCCTACTTTCATTTTGTTGTTTCTTTTGTTGATGACTGGGACGCTTAAAAATTGACTAGAAGTTAAAGAGAGATTGCCCTTGGATAAATGGATAAATTGATGGTATCGTGAAGGATTGATATGGGATAATGGAGCTCTTTACGATGAAGTGAAGCAAGTCCATAATAGCAGAAGAAATCTGCCTCTCTCTTTCCTCTGAGAACTGCTGATATCTAATGATGATTAGAAAGAACTAGATTTCCTTATTTTTGGTATGGAATCAATAGAAATCAATAGAACTGATAAACAAAAAAAGTATTAAGATCTTACAAAACGGATTCAGTTGAATTCGGGAGTTGAGGTCGGAGAACAAATTTCAAGCCTTCCAACGGTTGCCGAGGATTACCCAATTCAATAGCTCCATATTTGATATTTCCAGGTGGTATATATATCTCACTGCTTGACACAACCTTAATCAAAGGGTGTTATTTGATATCACAACCCCGTTATCGCTTGATCCCACAATGACTCCTCGTGGTCTTGCAATTAGTATTGGAAGTGGTAGTAATGGTGTAAGCTCTTGTCAACTTTTCTGCCTGTATGATATAGATAGAAGGTGGTGGGTGGGTTTGTACATCATCAAAACTCATGACGGAGCTCGTACTCAAGGCTCATGGGTCTGGGGACCTTCAAAGTTGTTGGATACGCAGAGCTTTTAGACTCGAGGAGAGAGCTTTTTTCCATAAATATACACATGCTCCATAAATCACATGATATCGTATCAAAGTACCATATATTACTTGACTAATAGCTCAATACAGGGTCACATCATATCTCGGATCCTTTCTGACCCTAATAAGGGCAAGTAAGTAAACTAAACCTCGATCCCCAAACAATATTTTAACAATTCCCAGCTTGGCCATTGCTCTCTTACGCAGAGATCAACGAAACCTGCCCATAATCTGCCCCACGATTCTCAAACAAAGCCCTCGATCTTTTCTACAAACACGTCGCACGCACAACAAATCTCAGATTTGCGAAAGCCCTTCAAAAGTGTTCTCAATCACACATCTTTCGAGCTCCTCCCCGTGGACCTCTCTATCTTCACCCTCAACACCAATAGCACGGCGCCATGAACAGACATGCTCTTTAAAGACTCCCGCAAAGTCCTCTCCGACAGTATCCGAACCATCTAAACCACTATACGTCTACGAGAAATCTTCAAGGCCAGCCGCTGAGGAAAAAGATCCGTGGCAGCTAATAGGTAGTTTTGTTTCGTCTAAAAGAGCAGCGATATTGTTAGGTTTAAGTCCCGCCGAGGTTCAGAAATATGCCATCTCAGGAGAAGTATATAAAGAATGTTACAAGTTTTCTTACGAATAGTCTTTGATTATTTTCTCGAAATTCAAATTCTCGTCGAAATTTCCTTTGAGCATCACTTTGGTGAACTTTTATATTAAAGACAAGCCAAATGGAAGGATTACCTTCATCGGGACGGTGGCCGCTTTTTACAGATGATGTTAATTTACGGAATCGAGAATAATGGCTAAGTTGATTGGCGGCAGGTATGCGAGGAAAGGTGGTGCATATGATGCATTAGATTGCAAAACTAAAGATTAAGAAGCAGCTTGGGTGGCTCTTAAGTTTAGAACAGTGCGAATTTCAATGTAGTAAGTTGACTAATTTTCACTCATAAGCATATATACTTCCTGCTGTGAATAACATAATGCTGATTTTTCAGTGTAGGAAAAACGAAATTATAACTGAGTGGGCAAGAGCTAGTACTAGGTATTATTTAGAAATACTTTTACCGATTGTAAAGTCTGCGGTAGTGTGAAAAATTGAAGTTATATCATAAAATATTTACTGCCCTTTTGATTTACCGGCTTTGAGATAGCTAGATCGATTTTACTGATCTCCACCACGTACTGAAGATATGTACAGAATTTCTAATGGATCAAGCTATCACAATACGGGAATCATTGATAGATTTTAGGAAATTCTCGATTTCATGCACCCATCCTTTTGAATCTAAACACAAAATTGTGGTATTCATTCCCATAATATATAACGGACATCTATACGGCTTTTCCCTCACCACCGTCCATTCCCTCCACTCTAGTTCTTTGTCAAGCCCTTCGTAACCTCTTACCTAACGCCCTTACTACTTCCTACCATAGTTCCCCGCTCTACCTCATCATCCAAATCTCTCAAATCCAAACCGGTACTTCCACCCATCTGTCCCATGAGCCCTTGTCTCTCAGCAGCAACGCCCTCCCCTCTTTCCCTCTGATTCTCCCTCATCAGTCCTCGCATCTCAACCTCCTCCATATCTTCTTCTTCCCCTTGCAGAAAGATCTCATGGCCACTACCCTCATAAACCCACATTGCAGTTACACATCCCGCCGCAGCCACCACAGCGGTTTCCCACCACGCCCACCCCACCACTCCCCGTTCCAATCCCTGTCCATACCAAATCCCGCCGACCACTGGTCCCACCGTGCGAAATCCAGCTGATACCGATTGCCCAATCCCATGTATCGTACCCAGAACCGAAGGATGAGGTGAACAATTATTCAACAAGATAATGGTGGCAGGAAGAGTAAATGTTCTCGCCGCAACAGCAAGTAAAAGCACAAAAAAAATACCAATCCAGATAGCTGGTCCAGCAGCTGGTCCTGGCGCCGGGGCACTAGAAGGTAATACCGCCAAATATGGAGCAAAGAAATAAGCGACAGGGAATAAGATAAGGAAAAATCGAAAACAAAGGAGAGTACCGAGTCTGGCATGTACAGACGGATAAAGGAGAACCTGTAGAGCCATGCCTAAGACGCCAAGAATGGATGTCGCAAAACCGACAGTGGCTGCAGGCATCCCGAGACCCCCTGTGAATACAAAAGGAAGAGATTGAGAATCGGTGGAGGTAGGTCGAGGGGTCGAGAGAAAGAGTGACCAGAGATTTGTGAAGGCTCCAAGATGGAAATCGAAGAAGGCACCAGTGATCAAGGTGAAGATTACATTTTTGGTCCAAATGCGGCTAAAGGGTAATTTGTTTGCGGCGGGACGGGTGACTGATTTAGGGTCGAAGTTATCGAGGCTATCAGTTGAGGCCTCGAGATGGAAGTAGTCAACCGGAGCCACAGTAGTTCCAAAACCTATTGATTGTTTAATACGATTCATAAGGCTAATTCCATAATCGGACTGGCCACGCGCTGAAGGAAGAGTCTATGATAAACACCAAAGTTAGGATCGTCTATTCAGATATTTAGGGATGGAGACATCGGAATATATGCCATGCCAAGAGCACGCACCTCTTCTAATCCCAGGAACACGATGGCGCCGGTAGCTACCAAGAAGACGGCATTGAGGATGCCTGGAAGAGCATAGGGATATGAGTGAAGCCACTCGAATCCGAATACAGCTTGGTCACCGAAAAGACCGGGGAGTGTCATTGCTGGATCGGCAAGTAATCCACCCATGACTATGAGCAATATTAGTACATGATGGTGTGATTGCTCCAATACTATATACACATACCTGGACCCAATATACCAGCCACGTTGAAACTCATGGGCAAGATCAAAAAAGCTCGAGATTGATATTTCTTTTCTTTGGTAAACTCTGCAACCATGGTACGTCTAATCAAAAAGGTTTAGCTATCATATACTTGAAATAGAGGATCTATGTACTAACATAATTCCAACAGTACCATTGATAGCACCACCAAAAGCCCGAAATAACGCAGCTTGCCAGAATGTGGTCGAGAATCCATATCCCACACACGAAATGGCCGTTCCAACCAACCCAATCATCAAAACCATTTTTCTCCCCCAGGTATCAGCGGCCTTACCCCATAGTACCGCAGTACAGACTTGAGCCCCGGTGAAACAGCCTTGCAGTATCCCCGCCTGCGACGAAATAGCAGCATTAGATAAACCCGAATCAAAACTCTTCAATTGGTAGAACATATAGGCTTGCAACGAAGCAACTTGTAAGAAATCTACCAATCTAGAAAAGAAGAGAATGGCTAGTTGGTCTTTCCGCGGCAATGACATCCAGGTCACTGCTTGTGGCTTGGGACCAGATGCTTCCGAATCTGGTTCTGAAGGAGTACTACATCGTGATTCGAAGGTCTCACGTGGGGACTGAGGCACAAGAGAGGTGTGTCGACGGTGAAAACCACTCACCCCTCTATGCTCGGTTAGGGACGGTGACCATAACGGCGTTGGAAAGTTGTTCTTCTCCGACATGGCTATTAACTTTCATCTAAGGATTTATGTGGGAATAAAACGATGAAATAAAACCAGAAACGCCCAAAAGTCACGGAAATAATCAACCAGGCCAAAAAATGAACGGTACAAATGAACAAGCAAAAAAAGAAGGGAAAGAAGTTAGATTGAAAGATTGGAAGAGATTGGGTGGCTCAATCAGGAATTGTGCCAAGTAGGCAAATGGATGCTGAAAGAAATGGAAGAACGGAAAAAGGATAAATCATAGAGGGATCAAAATCTGTACTTTCATCTCCATCAACAAAACATTTGGATGTCTCTAATCGGAGTCACTGCTCTTTTGCCTCGTGGATGGTTAGAGTTTTGTGCCTTATCCTTGTTGGTGGAGGGAAAGATGTGTGCGTATGGGATATACATCATCATCAATCTCAGTATGATGCTTGGCCCATAGCTGCGTAGGTGAGTGCGTTCGCGCTCTGAACAGAATGGTTAGTTGTATTCATGATCCACCTCAGATCCCAACTTTCCAGCTTCCCGAGCCTTACCAAATTATGCTCTCTCGAAAAACGGTTGGTTCTCGGCTGGTATCCATTTTCTGCATTTGTTCGACAATCGTCCAACCGAGATAGGGATCAGGATAAAAAAAGAAGAAGCAATACACCAGGGCATAAATAGTGCAAGGGGCAAGGTAATAAAAATGACACGGATGAAGGTCAAGGATTGACGATGTTCAAACTTCTTCCACGTTCTTACGTTTAGATTCCCTACCGACTGCTGAATGCCCATGTAAACGGTTAACTTGGCGTGTAATTGGATATTGAATTACTGGGGATTCGAATTCGAGGCGACCTCTCAGCCAATGCACCCACTCTGGAGGAGACGCCCAGAATACTTGGAATATCCAGAATACCAGAATGCCAGAATATCACTAGGTAAGTCATCTCAATTAAAAATGATGATGAAACTTTTCTAGGATCGAAGAAGATGAATGACACTGGCAGCGATTAAACGATTGAACTCGGATTTCCAAGCGCGATGCAAGCGCCCACCCGAAAAGTCTTGGCGCGTCGCGTCGCAATCTAACTCTGCCATGTCAAGGTTTTCCCATGTCAATGTCCTTCCATATCCATATCCCACGTCCATATCCGATATTCCATATCCCTTGCTCGTTTCCAGAAATCTTTTTTTCCTTCTTGTACGAGTACGTCCCTAGTACTAACTGCTTTAATTACATTAAACCACAAATTATGAAACGGCCTAGAAACCTGTAATGATTCTTTCCCGAGAAGCATTACGACTACTCAGTGTGAACTGCAAATTGCAGTCGTTCATTCATACACGTCTACGTCAACTGCTGCATCTCCTAGACCATAGACATGTTTCTATACCCCCACCATACGTTCTAGAGACTCAGAGACTCAAAGACTCAGAAACTACTTCGTCTCTAACTGCTTGAAATGCTTCTTCCTTCTCACGATAGCCTTCAAATGTTGCTCCCACGTCCTGAGCTCCAGTAAGTTCTTAACCTCCAAAGGTTACAATAACCCTTCGACTCCCCACATACAGATGGTGGCAGTTGATCTTTTTTAATGCTATTAAAGTATTTCTGGCTGTCAATTGCTACTCTATCCTAGTAGGTTTTGATCCGATTACTTACTTCCCCTTGTAAATTATTATTCCTTCATCCATCCATCCATTCACTCATACCCAAAGTCTCATGAGCAAATGACATACATCTTTTTATTCTCGCGTTGCTATTGAGTCAGATTACCATGGGCTTGTCGTTGTTCTCTCTTCTTACCCTTCTCTTACCTATCCTCACTGTTGCTGAGATAGGCCCTTTTTATGGCGATGATGCTTTCGATGCTGGTAGCTATGGATCATACCCAGTCCACACCTATATGTCAACCGACGTCGTTTCCCCGCGTTTAAATATGTTACGCTCAAGTACCCTATGTCGAAATGATTTATACTGGGTATTGAGTCCTCGGGGGAGATCCATTAGTGATCCAGGTCCAATGATTTTGGATTCAGCTGGAAATTTGATTTGGACCAAGGGAGGTTATGATCAAGTCTATAATCTTCAGGTTCAGGATTTGTTGGGGGAAAAGTATTTGACCTTCTGGGCTGGAACCGATGCTGTGCAGGGACATGGCGCGGGAAGTTATTATATGGTCAGTATACGTTGTGTCGAACGCATCTATTTCGGTTTATGCTGACTTGCGTAGCTTGATAAAAACTATAGGGAGGTTCATAAAGTCGTTGCGGCAAACGGTCTCGCGGGCGATTTACACGATTTTACAATCACCAAAAACGGCACGGCCTTGATTACAATTTACGACGTTGTGGTGGCCGATTTATCATATGTTGGAATCCCTCAAGGGTATGTTTGGGATTGTGTTATACAGGAAATTGATTTGGCTTCCGGTGAACTCTTGTTCCAGTGGAGAGCGGCAGAGCATCATCCAATCTCTGATACATATAGAGATATGCCAGAGGGAGATGGAGGAGTAAACTCTGCCTTCGATTTCTTTCACATAAACAGTATCGATAAGGACGCCAAGGGCAACTTCCTTATTTCCAGCAGATATTTTCACTCCCTGACCTATTTAAACGGTACCACTGGGGATATTATCTGGATTCTAGGAGGCAAGAAAAATATGTTCAAAGATCTTTCCGGTGGACTAGCTACCAATTTCGCATATCAACATGATGCCCGCTGGCGCCACAATCGCACCGCCATTTCCTTATTCGACAATGCAGGCGATGATTCTCATCCAGGAAATGCTACCCGCGGGCTTCTCGTCTCCCTCGATGAGATCAACATGACGGTAAAAGTCATTCGTGAGTACATGAATCCCAACGGTATCCGCGCCATTTCACAGGGAAACCTTCAAATGCTGGACGATGACCACGTAATTATGGGTTATGGAAACACTGGCGCATTCACCGAGTACGATACCAACGGAACCGCTATTTGTGATGTACATTTTGGACCACAAAGCAGTTTCGGAGCTGGAGAAGTCCAATCATATCGGACCTTTAAATTCGACTGGCACGGATGGCCCACGACCGACCCCGACGTCCGCATATTGACCAATGGAGAAGATTGGTTGAGCCTTTATGTGAGTTGGAATGGAGCAACGGAAGTCAGGAAATGGTTATTACAAGGGGCTGATGAGCCTGAAGCAGAAGAGGGAGAGTGGGAAACTCTAGATTACGCGGACAAAACCACTTTTGAAACAGAATTTGAAATTCACCGCATGTATCCAAGATACCTGAGGGTGAAGGGAATGGGGAGTTACAATAATGTGACAGGAGAGGAAGAGTTATTGGGGGTAAGTTTCCCGCTGGATGTGAATTTAGAAAAGGTAAGGCTAACTTAATTTCTTTTCTTGCTTTAGGCTTCGAGAATCTTTAATGCTGATACTGGAACGCAGATTTGGTCGCTGAAGCCTGTGAGATTGGAGGGGTCTAGTAGCTGGCCATTGCTGACTTTAATGGTGTTTGCGGGGATTGCTGGGTTAGTGGTGGGAGTAAGAGAAGCGATGATTTGGAGAAGAAGGAAGAGAGGGCCTAGTTTATTGAGGTGGAGGCCTCGGGGTCTAGGAGTTCCATTGTTATCCGGTTAGGGGGCGAGATTTGGGAAACGGAGCAAAACGGAGGTTGTTTGGAAACTTCTGGGGGAGTTCCGGTCGAATTTCTATTCTGCACATAAAACACATTTTCTTCCTTGGGAGAGAAGGGAGCCGCAGATACCCATTGCATATACCCATGTAAATACCTACCAGTCTTTGAGTACCAAATAAAATGAATCTACAATCCACGTTTGATCCAACCAATCAGTCCATGACTGGGTACGCACTTCTGCGCCCCTATCTTCCCAAAAAGCACCGACATTTACAACTTCCAATGCACCATCTATCAATGAGTATCCGCCAATGCCTATCATCATGATCCATTCTTGCAAACACCCATGCGATCAATACCCAAATGAGCACGACTCATGCATATGCAAAGCACAGACCAAACAGAGTAAGTAAGAATCTAGGTCTTGCACCAGTATATCTTATCATTTTCATTCTCTGGCCGCGTCACCTTGAAATGATGCTGTTTTTTTCGGGGTTAATTTCCAAAGCGTTACGGAGATGAGTATTATGTGCACAATGCTCTCGGCGGAAAAAGCATGCATGATTTTGATCTATCTGATCTATTGGTTTCCATTTTTGACCTGCCCGTGATCTTTCTATGTGCATTGTACTGGAGGTTGGAATGCGGTGGGTGATATGAGTATGACGATTGTCCAGACTCAAACACCTTGTCCGCTTCCATTTCCAAACCCCACACCCCTCTTGTGCGGTGATCCAGTCCCCGAATTTCCAAAGTTCTTTGAGGCTTCAGGCCCCAGAATTTCATCTTCTCTTATCTGTCTTTTCTCCTGATCCAGAATAGAGTACGCGTCTGTAATTTGGGGTTTGAAGCTTTGAGGTGGCCATCGAGATTAGTTTTTGTGGGTGGTAATGTGATGTGAGTGTATAATCATAAATTCCAGATGAAAATATGTTTTTCTTAAAAGTACATATTATAAATGGTTTATTTATTATATAAAGATGAAAAATGTAAAGTATGATTTAATATACGAACTTTGAGTCCGGCGCCTCAGTGCCTGAAAAATATAAAAAGGTTATTATTTTTATTTTATTTTTTATAATATCTCAAAACCTATCTTATAACTTTTTCTTTAAAGGGATATTATTATTTTTTAAAAACTTAAATTCTTATGATTATAAGTGTTAAAAGGAATGACCTTACACAGGGAATAGTGGGAAGCTGATAGGGCAGAACTGAGGCTATACTGGTCTTGTGTATGTTCGCTCTACATCTAAGTTCTACGGAAGTGCGAAGCTCTCCTACAGAGAGCTTCTCAATCTAGTCCTAATATGACTAGTGCCCTGTGCACGTGCTACGCAGGAACCATTCACTTTAACAATAAGTTTATTTTTATTTTTCAATTTGTAAAATTTATATTAAATTATAAACTTTTTAAAGGATTATATATAATATTTTTAAAAAAAGATTTTTATTTATATAAAATTTATTATATATTTATATATTTCACCATATAAAGATTGAATTAAATATAAGAATATTTAAAATAAATAAAATAAAACAAGATAAATCTATATACATATCGTTTACAAAGAGTAAGTGAGTCGATCTTGAAGGTGGGATATATGCTGTTTGGTATAATATATAATAGAAAAAGTAACCCAACAAAAGAGCTAGAATGTACAGTAAATGCCCATACCCTACAAATCCGTTCCAGCCGGAGCCCAAACCCAATAATGCTTTGCTTCTTTCTAAATGATATACAGTAACGCAAGCAACTTTCCCCATCCCAATACCGTATTTACCCATTCATACATCCTCTTTCCCGAAGTTTCGCCGTTGATCTCTTCATCATCCCTCACCTACAACAAATTCCAAATCCTCATCAAACAAATATATGTCAGTCCACAGCCAAACACTATACAGACGTATCTAAACAACACATTCATCAATTGACATCTGTTTCTCCACTTCGATCGATCAACGAAGTCATTGTTATCGTTGACTTTGGGGAATGGTCTATCCTTGGGAACCGCCTCTCCCAAAAAGTCGCATAATTTCTCCCATCCATCAGTAATCTTATATTCCAGTAATTTGCCCTCGCCAGCCGGCCCCATTTCCTTCACAATATTTCTGACATTCTCATAATGTTGAGTATAAATCTGTTTTCCCTTATTTTCAAAATCTCCCTCGAAGAAGCAATCGAAAAACTCTTGCAACATGGGTTTATACATGCTAGCAGCCCAATCCCATCCCTTAAGTTTCTCGAGCTCCCAGTCGTTCACGCGCCAGTTTACTGTCTTGAGTGTAGATGCGTGCCATGAATCGACGTCGCGATTTGTGAGGATGATTTTGGCTTCGGGATATGCGGCGATGAGTTCAGGGGCGAAGGCTATGGCTGGCCAATCACAAACTGCTTGACAGTGACCCAGAAGTTGATCCCAGTCTGCGCGGGTGAAGGCGGGGCCGTTATGGTACTTGGCGTCGAAGGCATCGCGCCAGAGGAGACAGTCCGGTGGGTTTTCGATACTGGCTGACATCATGTGGTATGTGTCTACATAGCCTAGTTCACGCATTGCTGCTCTCATTGCTGTGGATATCGGTCAGTATTCTGTTTGCAGATGAAATTGGTTGAAAGGGAACGAACATGCAGTTCCAGTCCTACCCAGCCCGAGAATGAGAACTTTCATGGGTACTTTACGGCGGCAGTTTCGACGGTTGATGTCGGTGTCTGCAGTAAAGATATCCGTGATAGGTTTTGGTGTGTAAAGACGTGAGTTCGCCATTATGAAAGGTACGATATGATCTATTTGCAAAAGGAATGGCAATTACTGTGTATAACAATGATGTTCAAAAGAAGGAATATATGGGTATCTTGAAATGGAAAGCAGACCTAATCAGGGTATAGTATAGAGATAGAGAGAGAAATATGCAAAAAGCAAAGAGAGATGATATGGATAAAGATTTTGAGAGACAACACCTACAAATGAACTTCTATATCTATCTAATGAAGGCGTTTGAACGCCAAGACCATCCCGGGATGATAGGTCCATATAACCCCCTTCTCATGGATTTTAGGAACAGGGACCTCCAGAATTACGTAGACAAACATTCTAGCCAGGATGGATCGTTTGGACTCTACCCCAATCTCAACAACATGTAACATTTGAGATTCGCGGCCTGTTTATCTTGCTTCGGCTGCAGGCGGAGAGATGCAAGGAGAAATTGTGGGGTCTTGGGACATTAAGGAGGTTTAAAATGATATTAGATTAATGAGAAGCGCGTGTGCGTTTAGGAGTCTTCTCGAAACTTGAGACTGGCTTCGCTAGAAGCTTTTGGGAAATGGTGCATATTCTGGCTGTATACGCTTGATATTTAATACTACTACTACGTTTGCAGTCTAGCCTTCCGCGAAGAAAGGTAAGGAAATGCAGTAGCATGGTTCTGATGAAGAAAAGACATTCTGCTATGCTTGGAAGGATGTCGAAGACCAACCAAAGAATGCGTCTACCTGCGTATAACACTTCTGGGAACATCCCTCCTCCATTACCCATCAAATTATCACTAGTATGGACCAAATGAGCCTTATAAACTTTAAAAAAACATTCAGCAGAAAATGAAGGTAGATGTGAGCGGAAAAGGATACGATTTGATCAGAAAAAGAGTTAGAGTAGACAGATAGATTAGTTTTCAGATTGAAATTATAACAAGTTTAAGTATTATATATAATTCATTAAAACTAGACTTCAGTTCTTTCAAACTTCAAGATCATTAGTCATAATTTGTATTATTTGGTATTCCTAAATGTAAACAAATTTTCTTCTTTAAAGTATAATTTAGAACTTTAATTAATTAACGTAACGTATGGGGAACTCGGACATATGGGGAACTCGGACAGGTACCTTTACACCAAATTTTGTATGTAAAGGTACTTAGAGCGACTTTTTATATCTCTAGAAATACTAGAGATATAGTTTTGATATTTTGAAGTTTGATATATTCAATATAAATATTTAATATGGTAAAATTTTATAGAGATATAAAGTTTTTTCATAAAGATATTAAAGTTTCTTTCAAATTTTCGTTTTTGCCTAACAAAAATTACTATGAGAATTTTTAAAATCGTATTAATTTAAGAACAATATAATTAAAAAGTGTTTTGTAACTTTAATACTGTATTTTTATTAGATATTAAACCTAACTATCAAAAAAAAAATAAAAAATTATCTTTAATATCCATAGAGATATAAAAAGTTGCTCTAAGTACCTTTACATACAAAATTTGGTGTAAAGGTACCTGTCCGAGTTCCCCATATGTCCGAGTTCCCCATACGTTACGTTATATCATTTTTAATATTTTAAAAAAAAACTTAAAAGAATATAATATTAATGATCTTTTTATTGATTCTTGTACAATTCATTTGTTCATATATATAATTATAAATTGTATGTATAAATAACTTATAGATTTATTATATTTTACAAATCAAAGCAATTCAAGCATTCGTAGTATTCAATAGTCAAAGAACAAAGATAAGAAATAATGCATGTCCCTCTTATTTAAACAATGTGGATCAGATTTGGATCCGATTGTCAATCTTTTCTTTCTGGAATAGCCAAGGTGTCAAATGTCGGTTGAGTTGGTTTACCGGGCTTCGGGAAGAAATGCTTGACCATGTAGACATACTTTTCGATCTAAAGTGTCCAGGGGTTTCTTCTAACTTTTCTACACCTTTGCTTACGAGGACATCGGTTTCTGATATACGTATCTACCATAGGCGATATTTTGATGATGGACAATGATATATATATGCATGTGTTTCATCAGAGCGGATTAAACTTCATTTGAAGGTTAGTGGGATGCATTCACATTATGTATGACGTCTTGGCTTACGACTCGGGCCCCATCACACAAGCGATCAATCATCAATGGAGTGTGTGTGTAATTGAAACGTTTTGCGCGTTTGCGATTTGATTTATTTGGCACAAACTCGACTACTCGTACCTATAACAAGATAAAATACACAACTTTGCGTGATGGCATTGCTTCTATTTGTAACTCTATTTGTGTTCATTAACCTTATTGGGGCTGAAGCTACTGTTTGCTATATCTGTTCGTTTGACCTCTTTTATCATTCCAACTGACAATATTCGCAGCATGCGACGACGGTGTTTGACAGCACAAGCATGTCCCTGTCTGTCCAACTTGCAGTCGATCACAATATTCCGTACATGTTGTGGATACTAAAGAATCAACGGTCGATCAGCATAACCCAATGTTCTTTTGAGGAGCCCTTCTGAAACCTTGCAACCTGGGGTCTAACCTTGAAAATCAAAGCCTATCTAGGTCTTATCAGCAAGAGAAGATTATGACTTGGAAAAATATCCTTGAACATACCAAGGGCTGTCAATTAACATTACTTTGAAGCCCCTGAAATGGTGAAAAAATCCAAACAACGGCCGGCACAGCAATCAAGTGTTTGTTCGAGGGATATGAACTTGTGTTGAGGGATTACGAAAGATAAGTGCCAAGTTCTCACTTCGGAGCTCAAAGATTGAACAAAAGACATTAAGGCTGTCGAGCCCCCTGTCGATCCCGGCTTGGTTACAACTTCGGCCAGCTGGAAAAGATTCTGTCACCAGGGAGAGGATAGAGTAGACATGTTTTAGTCTATGAGATGCTGGAACAAGGTGTTGATCTTGATACTTGCATAAGTGTCATGGATTTTCATTGGAAGCGGGTAAACGATACGCAACCTTTCAGCTGAGCTTCAAGTACTTCGAGTCGCACCGAGATCTTCTATTGCTAGCCAGTTCCAATCCTGTTATCCAGGAACTTTATTCTTGGAACTCCTAAAAATCTTACACTGGTTGTATTTATGAAGCTCTAAACATATCCAAGTCAGAAATCCACAAATAAGTCCACACATGGTCTAATAGAGATTGCCGTAACAGTATAACTATATAAGTAATTGTTTTGGGGTACATCCGTAGACTCTTCGTGACAGTTGCGATACACTTTTCCTATCAAGAAGCACAGTTCTATTTCACTCAATTTCTGGCTTACCCTTCTCTTGAGTATGTTCTGTTTCGTCACTTTTTGCCCTGTTGCCAATCTGGACTGCAACTGTAATATCATAGCGGAGACGTCATATTGGGTTTCTTGAGACCAGAAAGAGCATCAGATTGAATTGATTGATTCTCTAGCTAAGCAGTTAAGCTGCGAGTATATATTCAAAAAATGAAGGAATAGGCTTAGGTATTCGGCCTTCGGAATTAAAGTGCTTTGAAATCAAAATATTGAAAGCAAACAAACAGTATACCAAAAAGGAAAGAATGAATTAAAAGTTGAGTTTTGTTTGCTCCTTATATGCATCATGCAATATATATGCATATGCTGCCAAGATCCCAGGAGGTCAACACGTCAAGACCACACTATTTGATCTCATTGATTTTTTGCCACTTACTTCTCAAGATTTGGCGTCCTTGGTTATGCTTGTGTTTCGCTGGTTTGGATTTTTCGGGGAAGTGGTATGAAAGTTGGAACCAATTTGGATTAGCAAGGAGAGGTGAGGCCGGAAACAGTGATTCAGGAGTTCAAAAAGCGAATGCAACTTGCATGATATTTGGTTTGAATTTATGGCCAAGAGCTCAGTTCGCTATATCAGATATCAGACGACGAATCATCCTTCTTCAATCAGGATGGTACTACAGGGTGTTGGGCTTGGATAGGACTAATTGTTCACAGGAAGAAATCTTGGATAAAAACACAATTCTCTTGAGAAGCACATTCCTCTGGACTAGCACCATGTGCTTGAGGGCCCCTCTGGTACTATGTCTCGCATAAAGGTGCTATAGGTAGGGAATACTAGTAATGAGTATCATGAGCATCTCAACTATCATTCAAGCCCGTGATTTTCAACACAAAGCGCTGCATACAGACGCCCAGTATTGATTCATACATCTTGCTGAGGAATGGCTTTACATCCACGTACATATCTCCTCAGCACCACAAGTCTCGACGTCAAATTAAGAGATTGAAAGAACCAGGGTATGAGCAGGGTATATTGTAGGGCTACAGGGCTGAAGCGATCCTCTATCACGCCATATTGATGGGCCATTGCGTGATTGAGTATAATAGCTTGAATAAGATGGCAGAATTGAATTGGATCAAGTCTGAGTGCGGTCAAATTCTGCTTCCTTCCGCAGGGAGGATGTATATGCAGACTTGCCATCTGGAATTTGGTATCTAAATGGCAAAGAGAAAGAATTTAAAACCTATAAGGTTGAAAAATGGGTTCTAGTTTTGACGGCTGGACGGTGAATGGACACTCATCAGTGTTGGAAGGAAGTTGGAAATCCTGATAGACTGGTATCAGAGAAGGCAAATGGTGAAGATCAAACACGGAAATCCAGCAACGCAGCCATATCAGCTTCTTCAATATCCCTCATCACGTCTTTCGCAAATTACTACCTTCCTTCACCGCAGAAATCAATACTCTAATTTAGCTGAATCAAGGTCAAGAGATTAAAGAGCAGTAACAGTTTTTAGTTTAACTTCAATCCTCTGAAATTATCGCAAACTTGTATCTTGGAACGTGAAGTTGACTATTTAGGGGATTCCATAGTTTCGAGCTCGAAGGATGGAGGGCGGTTGGTTTGTCCGTTTATATTGCGAAACTTACCACTTTCATAGTCCTAGGAACGTATTTCAAATTTGCATTGGTGAGTTCAAGGCTTGAAGTTGTATTCAGCATGAGCTTGACGATTGGCGGCGCATGTGTAATCGGTTTCCTGTTAATCGAGTTACGGTCAAGTGTTTGGGTCATCGGGGTTGGGCTCGTTAGTCTGATGATGTATTATCTAGTTAGTGGGATAGAGAAGTGTGGAACTGGGGGGCTTTATTGCATCTATGTCAGGTCGGTATGCTGGAGATCAAAACTTCAGGATTTTGGTATATTCCAAATACCCAAGATATGGAACGCAAGCTAGGGAAGATTTCTTGACGTACTGATCACAAAAGGTGGAAGATCTGGAATAACATATGAGTAAATACGATCAGCTGGACGTAGAATTGCGGGAGTGGATAAATCTACCATAGCAAGCAGTACCAAATACAATAGAATTCTATTGGGGCTAGTCCGAGTACCAATCCATGCAATTGTTTGATATATATGATAAGTCTAGTGGCACAGAAATGTGAAATGGCCCCCACAAAGGATATTGCGCATGGTAAAGAGCAGAATGGTCAAATTAAGCCTTTGATGGGCCGCCACAAGATGCACGACGAGGGTATAGGGTGTATGATGAGAAGAATAACAGTACTGGAAGTCATCAATGGATCTGTTGAAGAATATTGGAAGGTAAGGACTTGAGTCGGATATTTCTTTGCGTGCTGGCGATAAATTGAAGACATGGACGCTTACTGGTAAATCGTACGGGGAAGTGAAGAGATGCAAGAGTCCAGAAGTCGGTCGAGATAAATTTTGTATTCAACTAACTCATGGACTGAGCAATTTTCCTCCAGCTTGTTTATTTATCCAGAAGATGCGTGCGACGTTAGATAACATTGACCACATGCAGCAACCACACAGAACCCTTGAACTTGTTACACCCGGTATTTTGCTCGAGGTGCTTGTAGATAGCTGAGTATAGGAACAGATTTAGATATACAAAATGTTATTTGGTTAGATATCCGGGACAACAAATCTATTTTCTAATATTCTCGGAAGTTAGATATTAGGCACCAACCAAAATCTATACCCTCTTCGCCTGCTCCCATGCCACGGAACCCGTAGGTTTGAAACAATAATCTTCTCAATCCCATGCATTCCTAACCCCGTCGACTACTCTAGACGTTAGGTTCTTTTCTGCAACTTTCCATTGTACCTCCATCCAAATGCTTAATGAGTCTGCCGACCGAGCCCCTTATTCATCGAAATACGTGCTGGTGAAATTTCCACCCCCAACAAACTAATCAAAGGACCACTTATCGATGAATTCTCATGATTAACACAAGTTGAAGAAAAGAGGCCCATTCACGTACATGAGTGGGTGTGATGGCGCCACGAGCTCCTAATTGTAGATCCAGATATATAATTTGCAAGATGGAGATTAATTCCCGAAGAGGAGATTATGTAAAAATGATTAACTGTAAAAGAAATGGCTGAGGGTCTGCTGTCTTTCTTGAGCTTTTTGGTAAATCACGAAAAAAGCAGACCCAAGTATATCGCGGATACTTTTTTGTATGTTTTTGCGATGATTAATATGATTTTAAAAGAGGCTTATTGGATTCTATGGAGTTGTACCAAGGAAATTGATTCCGCAAAAGAAGTAAGTGATGTGCAGGACAGTATTCAAAGGTAAAACCTCAAACTTTGATAAAATCCGTTCTACATTTTAGCTCGTTGCCATTATCCACGGTTCTGAGAGCATCCGTGGTTGTCGAAACATATTCCGACGCCGTGTAAACCATGCAAGATATTCGTGCTTCCGTCTCATGTGTTGCTGCCTAACCAGTAGCTCTTAGTCTACCAAGCGTCTTCCCCGTGTATGTATCTGTGCTAGAATTGCCGAAAGCACCGTATGTAATAGGATAACGTAAATATCCGCGGCGCCCAGAATCTCCTGTCGCTCTCAGCGATCAAGAAAAGTGTTTTGGACCGTCTCTGCTGCACCAGAGATTGGGCCAATGCTCATTGACCAACAACTTTTGAAGAAGAAAAAAACACGTCTAGAGTCAAACCTTCCATTGATAAGATACAAATATCAATCAGTCGCATTATCTAACTCGTAGAAGTAAAAAGGCCGAAGTCAGTAAGAACCTGGTGTGTTTCAGTGGAGTCTGCAACGCCTGGACTGGCTGCGGAGGTCGCAGCCGCACCTCTTGGACGCTCATAAATGGTTCCTAAAACTGTGAAAATAGAGTACGGCCAAATATGAACAGAAACAGAGAAAAAGTAGTACATCAGGTATGTTTTTAGTCGTGAGATTCGCATATTGATCAAACGAGGGAGGCATGAGAAGCAAAGATAAAGTCTTGTTGAAAGATTAAAACTGCCTCGTCAATCATGAAATTGCCTGCCATTGATGTAGAAATCGCAAGATACAGGGTACAAATCTATGAATACGACCAAAACAAATTGAAATTTCCACAGTTTAAAACAACACTAGTTATGTAAAATGCGTCGAAGCCACGATCTGATGAAACAGCAGCAAGATGTGGAGCCAGGCCTCATCTTTCCGATTCTTACCTGCACCAATCAGTCGGATGTGATTGTAAAAATTCAAGAAATTCAATAAAATCTTTAGATTACCAGCAGCTTCAATCTTTTCAAGAGAAGCTAAAGATGGAAGCTATAGATAGGCTGATATTCAGAGAACCAGGATATCTGCGCAAATTGCATTTCAAAAAGTCTTTCCTCTCGCTTGTGACGGCATGCTCATGGAGATGACCTCCCTGTCGATCATCAAACCACAGAGTGAAAGGATTTTCCACTTGCAACTTGGTGAAGACTGCATTGAATTATCAATCCAGTGCTACATCCTGATACACGTATAAAAGCGGTTCCAGTAATCCAGAAAACCATAATGTCAGCGAATGAAATCATTTGCTGTATAATCTCTGCAATTCTCAACAACAGAAAGCCAGCCCAATATCTAGACCTGGGTGGAGCTTCTTCTAACCTAGCGGATAAACTCGGATGACAATGCCAAGTCGTTGGTACCTCTAAATCATAGCAGTCATAACAGTCCATGATAGGAACTGACTGACAGGTAACTAACGAGAGCGTGAACTGCACGGTGCCCTTTCCCTCCGGAGAAGAAAGGGGACGGAAACTTCCGCTATAACTGAATGGTCGGCGCCTGGAAACGCCTGGATAACGCCACAAACAACCAAGCCAAGAAAAGCTGGATTACAGTTCATACAGAACACACCTTCTCGCTCCTGCCATCAGCTTTTGACGGCCATTCTCCACTATCTTGACTATCTCTCTCCGAGATCTCCATAAGGAAAGGGTGAGCAGGGAAAGGGCCCACTAGTGGTATGTCCAGTCACGTGTTTTGAAGGGATTCAAATCCTTCTGGAGATCGATGGCGTACATATCGTGAATCTCCTAAGAGTTATTCCAAATATTTATTCCATTACTCCGTGCCATTCAAGAACTAGACAAGTGGAAACTATCAGTCTTATCGTCTCAACTTAAGAGTACATACTATCCTCGAAATGCACGATCTTCGATAACTGCTTATCTCTTTTTTTTTTTGAGGCTCCCTTTGCACTTGGCTTATCTACTTCGAAATTGTCACCATTACTAACAAAACCACATCACTTGTAGTTAGTGTAGCGTCATACGTTGATGGAAATTTTCCTCGACGGGCGAAGAAGACAATAGGTATAATCAATCATAAATGAGGCGGAAGCTGATAAAAGTTTTGATGTTTGTAAGACGCTTAATTATAATTTATTATTCTTCCAGTAGAATTAGAAAAAAGATTGTCTTATGTATAGCTGAGGCCTGTGCGCACATATTATTAGATTTAATCTTGTCTCTGTGTTACAGCACTAGTCGGGGTCGGGCTCCAGCTCGCCACAACCATGGACGGGCAACAATTTTGTTCAACTCCAATTTTGCCCTCACACATCTTTTCTCTTCACTACACTGCTTCGTCGACCTTCTCTCTTACGGAAAGGTCACGCTTGATCTTGTTATGTCACATTCTACATTTCAATCTACTCCAACCTTAAAATTTGGAACATGGATCCAGACCTCTCTCACGTGCCTAGCACGTGGCATCAGAATCCTGCGCTACAGCCCCTGTCTGCCACGGTAAGATGGCGTTGAAGAAAGATGGATACCTACATAGCTCCATAGATTTACTGGGCATGCAGGAGTGAATCCATTATTGGAAACTCCGGTATCCAGCTGTCAGAAGATAGTGCAGTAAGTAAGTATCAGATGAAGTCATGGCGGGACGATAAGGATAATCTATTCTATTGATCTAATTGACTAACGTCTACTCGTACTTTTCCTACTCCATCCTTCTATATTGAAAGCAGATGTGGAAACCAAACATAAGTCGTATACCATATGGAAGAGAAGCACAAAAACCAACAAACGCCACACAAACGAAATAACAACCTCCGGAGCCGATTATAAATTGATAGGAAATTAAAGCGCATGGTTCATTATCGTAATTTCCAAACGTACTAGGAGGTAGGACGAAGGAGCGGAGCTACGGAATTGATGATAGCCAGCTCTTTTTCTACGAGTCCCAAATGGGACCAAAGGCAGGAATTCCAAGATATTCTAAATCCTGCACGAGTTTTATCGTCAATTTCGGATTCGAAATGACAATGACAGCTTCAGATTCAGTGTCCCGGTACTGTTGTATCACAAGCGGAAGTGTCGCGGGTCTCCCCATGGTCGTCGTATTATGGATGTATGCGTTAGGCCCCAGTGCTTTGATAATGCCACCAATTTCATCACCATAAGTCGTCAACGGGTCTCGAGTTGACCAAAAGAGATTGATTCTAGTTTGTTGTGCAAGTATGACCGGTAAGCAGGGTGCGATTCCAGAGCCGGTAGCGACGAGTAAGATGCTTCGAAACATGGGAGCGATTCGTAAAACACCACATGTAGGCGTACGACGAGCCCAAACCTCCTTCGGTGGTTCGCTTATCAATTTTTTAGTCCAGTCGCCTGCGTTCGAAATAATGAGGGAGAAACCGTCTTTCTTTGGGTCTGCGACAGTGGCGAATGCATGCCATTCGAAGAGAGGGCTGCTGGATATGCGAATAGTTGTTCCTGGTGAAGGCCTAACGTAGTCGAAGTAAATGCGCAAGGCATGTGTTGAAAGTTGCTCTGATTGAACCTTGACCTTTCGGCAATTAAGCCACGTCATAATGATGCTCCCAGTAGCGACGGCGAGAAGCCACATGTTAGGGTTGACCAGTAAAACCTTGGTCAATTTTTGAGTTGACGATCGCTCGATATCACTAGTGAGTACGGTGAGAGTCCAGAGCAGAGCGAGTGCGGACCACCCAGCAAATCGATGGATGATTTCAAAGCTATTGTGGAGTTTTGCACGAATTGATGGATGAGCCATGACAATCATTGAGATGAGGAGAATATCCAAAATGTAGATAATGATGAGTAGGATGATCTTTTCCGCGTGGTACGGTCCCCTCCAGCTAGTTTCGATAGAGAGAAGGATGAACCAAAATGTTGCAGCTGAGGCGCATCCGGAATGAAGACCTCCCAAGTGGTAGATCTTTCCCATGCGTCGACGAATCCACAATGGAAAGCTTCTTGGCGCGGATGCAAAAATGGTATACAAACCATTGATTACATGCTCTTCCCGAATGACAATAGCGACCACCAGATTAATCGAGGTTGCCAAAGCAGCTGTCGTTTTGCTTGGTCTCCCATTGGTAGCCCATTCGTACAGGAATCCCACGACACCCCCCAAATTGAGGCAAAACACGATTGTGAACAGAAGTCGATATTCGGAGGTGATGAAGCGATAGAACCGGAGAAGGGGCGTGGCAGATTGTCTTGCGACATCTTCCAGAAGCTTGGGATCCACAGATACTTTCATCAAACTTGAGCCTCCAGAACTATTTGATTCTGCCAAACTGTTAGAGGATGGCGATGGTGGTACTTTGGTCGATTCGCCTATCTCGCTGGAGTCCGCCAAGCTGCGAACATCTGGCGACTCGACTATCTTTTCCGGTTCTCCCATATTGAAAATAGGTGAACGGAACAAGCAATAATATGACAAAGAGGCGATTGTAGTTGATCGTTCGCGGAGAAAGTCCCAGTAAGATATTGGCTAAGACCCTCGTGCTATATCTTCGTTGTTGAGGTAGATGTAACACGAAGAGAAAATCTGATCTGGAACAATGGAAGCAAGTGCAAACTCTGATGGTTTTCGAGCAAGGCTTGATCTGAGAAATAGCTGATGAGATGATGAGAGTATATATAAAGTTTTCCATCTGTCTTGAACAGCTCATGACAAATTAGTGAATATTGTTTCTATCCAAAAAAGGAGGACTCCGAACGCTCCATTAGGAAGTCCAGATGGATCAGGGCAAGAAGACCCACTAGGAGCGAGTGCCCTACCCGGAGGGATTGTACATACGGAGTTTCATTCGGATGAGGGGAAGTAATCGAATCCAATCCTAAAGGTTGATATCCCATCTTCGCTCTCTCCGATGCTGTTATCATTCTTCAAAAGAGTAGTACAAGATTGGTATCTTCTTCACGTACCATGGGGAGTATCCCCGTCCAGACTGGGATAAAACGTGCTTGCAATGCTACCCTCCCTTTCTGTAGCTCCTTTGCGCACTCACCACGTCATCTCAATCAAATTTTTTTAATTTTTTTTTCCTATGATACCCAGGTTCATATCACAGTGCTATTGGGGAAGTGGGACCTATTTTGCGTGGTAGATAGTATCTCTCTATACATCTCCTTCTGCTTCTCTCAACACCAGACTACAGGTCCGAAGTGTGGAAACAAGATAAACTCCTTGTAGATTTTTCCTCCCACTAGGATATCAATGGAACCCACCAAAGCCTTGTTGTGGGGTCAGAAGGTGTAGTCGTAACCGGGCCGTACCTCTGCATATTTTCCTGGCGCACATGTGTGTAAGGCACAAGAAGCACCTGTCCCATCATGCTCCACTACAAACTGCACCGTCATGTTGGAATGATGCTTGGGTATTTAGCTCGTGCATCCCTCTCAATCCTTTGAATTTTGCTTCCAATCCCGCTCTTGCAATCTGATATTGTAATACGCTGAGAAGTATGTGCACATACGTTCACCGCGAAACGATACACTTGAAGCGTACCTTCCGGCAGTGGTCAAAAAATTGGGAGCAAACGGAACGGTGTGAAAAACAACATTACGATCTTCACAATCCCTGAATTTTACCCTTCAATGATTTCATTTGATCTTGCGTTGAAACAGCCAATTCGTCGCACGCGTGGAATCCATTTCCCCAATAAATTATTGTTCATGAAATGCCAAAACCCCTCACATCAATTTACATTTCAGTCATTGATCTCGATTCAACATCTTGAACTACAAAAAAATTGATATGAAGTGGAGCATGTTCTTCTTTATGCATTCTTTCCAAACCATTGTTAATAATTCATACATACCCTGTTAGCTGGCGCGCTTACTCTCCAAGCAGAGTGGCCACCTTATCACGACGTTAACTCGTGCGGCCGAGAAGTATGCAGCTCCGGAGCTAGAAGCACGTTCCACAAGGTGGTAAACTACAAGAGGAATAACCTGGTTTATTTAGCGTCGGAGCTCATACTTTCTGGCACCACGAGTACTTTGAATTTTGGAGCTTTAAACGGCCACATCCCTTGCACGTCCAGATCCACATACAAAAACCCACCTTCCCCATTGCAACAAAACATTTGGTTGTCTAACGCTTTCTTGTAGCTAGGCAATTTTCACATGTTGCAAGCAGTGGGGAATATTTCTAGTTAAGTCATAGTCTCTGGGTCTCATGTAGCACCATGTGAAAATTGGAAAGGGATTTTCCCGGGTAAGACTTCGCAGGTACAGATTAATACCTCATCCACACCAACGGCGTGGGGGTTTACACACTGTTAACATGTTATATTTTGCAACTTCCGTTTATGACGACACTAAATTTCTCCACCTCACGAGCATTCAGATAATCTACATGCCAGCCCAAACGCAAGTGCACGGGTCGAGAGCAATTACCAATAACTATTTCTTTTTTGGTGTATCAATATCGCAAGACCCACAGCAGTATTGACGCCAGTGACATGGTAAGGACGTGTCATTGTGTGTTCAATCAGCTACATTGACCTATCAAATCTGAGGGCAATGAGGTTGGAACGCACAAAAAAATTGCAAGTCATGATGGAATGCGGTACATGAGTCTTCTGGTAATGGCTGTAGGCATAGAATGATTATACCTGCAGTGTTAAGTGTTTGGCACTGATAACATGCATCCAAATTGCATCTTTGCTCGGCTCTTGGTCAGTATCTGGCAGTTTCTCCCGTGTAAAGCTCAATTAAACTGTAGATTTCTAGCTGAGTAGCCCAAAACCGTAAGAGACCCAGAAGAAAAACTGGAGAAAACGGGCCTGACTAGCACTAAGCGTGTTGGTAGATTTGTGGCAGAACTCCAATATCCTCCACAATTAGACAATAGTGCATAATCAATCTTGAGCGCGAATAGGACAAGTGTCATACGCTTTTGGCGGACTATTTGTACGGCCAGAAGGTTCAAAACCCCGAACGCTAGATCGGTGTTAAGAAAAAGAGCGGCAGAACTTGTAACTGGGGTAGTTTGGCCAATAAGAATCATCATTCCCTAGTGTTTAGAGTTTTGAACTTTCTGGCCGCACGAGTACTCTCTCCAGTTTGTAGATCACGGAGGTTGCATCTAAAAATGATCGACAGCGAGGTACTGATTGTTGATAGAAACTCAATTGCTCTACTGTTGTGCAAGGTCCGGGAATACAGTCGGCATCTATGGTAGGCTCCACTACATAGTGGCTGCTGATTATGCAGACAATGTAACCGACCCCTGCATGCAAATCTTGGCAAAGATAGTAGAGGTGGATCTAGATGTATCGACTGTGTTCAAGTAAAGCTAGCATGAAAAATAGTAGTTGATGATGTGATGCAAGCATTAAGTCGAGAATCCTCCGCAGATAGTCCTATCATTGTCCCGAAAGGACACCAAAGGATTTAACACCCATCTTCAAAGCTCGGTGGTGGTGATAACATCATTCCAAATCATTAAGCTTCAGCCTTCAGGTAAGCAACAATTGAAGGATCTTTACCAGGTTACTAAGCCGAATGTGAGCTTGGCAAGGAGATTATAAATGAGAAATTGAAGAAAGCGCAATGGTGATTTAGCCGACTTAGAAATTCTATGTATATGTTCGAGGTAGCTATCGATTTCTAGCAACAGATACGATATTTTAGGCCAAACAAAAAATGCAATGTAAAATAACCAAATTCTCAGCCAGAGGTATCCATTGAAGCATAGAAAAGATATGTAGAGTTGTAAATGCAAATACGAATGCCTAATAGTCGTCGCCACGGCTGATCACTTCTTTACCACCCGAATGGAGAAGAATCGTCTGAAAGTAATGATTAGCCTTGGAGTGGGGTTTCCCTGAGGTGTTCCATACATGTTCAAATTGTGCTGTATATGAGCCCTTCACGTCAACGAGTGGAGCGTAAGACTCCACAATTCCCTTGTCTATCAGGCTTTTCATCTATGCGCCTCAGATTAACAAGTTCTCAATACGCAATGGTCGAACCATGTCACTCACTCCGAGATGATAGTTCTTCACTCCAAGACGCTCCAAATATCGACGGCAAAAAACTAAGGTTCCAAAGTTCGCGTCGATGGTTTTAAGTAAAGACTTAGCGGATGAGAGTTGCGCATCAGCACTTGTGACATCGCTTCGCCCGTAGCCATAGACACCCACCTGCCAGTTAATCAGAACATATCACCAATACATTGAAGATGGGAGCGGAATACAATACATACATCATCACGTAAATATCCCGTTCCGGTACTGCCGAAAGTCTCGATGGCAAATACCTCACCCTCCTCCATCTTGTCCCGATTCTTATTTCTGACGAAGGGGACTTGTTTGCCGCCATGTATACGATATCGAAGAATGTCATGACCTGTAATGTTTCGAATAGATTTCACTGGTAGAAATTTACCTCCAATCTCTACTTCGTAACTTTCCATCACCTCTTGGATCTCAGCTCCGATATCACTCATTCTTGCGTCGACACCAGCATGCTATATTCGGCCAGCTTGTAAGCTTCACTTCAAGTCCAAAGCTTCTAATGGTTTAGACGTACCAGAATACCAGTATTGGTTGCTTCTTTTACAGCAGTCAGGAGGTTGTCGTACGTATGGTCGAAAGTGATGGTAAATGCTGAATCAACAATACGACCATTTATTTGCACACCAAAGTCCACCTTTAGTACATCACTATTCTGCAGGATGACATCTTTTCCGCCTGGGTTCGGCGTCCAATGGGCTGCGATATTGTTTAGGCATAGCCCGGTGGGAAAACCCATGCTAGCTTTCAAACTATCTCCAGTTTCAAGTCCCTGATGGCCAGATAGTGCACGAATTCCATCCTCAATCCCATCAGCAATGGACAGAAGACTTGCACCTGGTTTGATGAGCTCCTTCCGGGCATACTGACGAACCTGACGATGGATCTCCGCGGCCTCACGGTAATCGTCAAGAAATCCTTCGTCCCATAGGCGAGAGTTGAAACGTGACTCCTCATCTTTAACACGGGATGTATTCTCATATGGCAAAAGCTCCCCCTCGAGGAATCCAAACGGGAACAGACTAGATACAAGTACGCGAGGTGGAGTGCTTTGCCCAAGCTCCGCTGACTTCTTCTTCTTCTTTGGCTTCTTACGCTTCTTTTTATTTTCTGCACATAGATCATTAGTTAGTGTTACAACTTCTTTCACCTGTAACCGACTCGAAGGTCTAATATCCGATTGAGGGATTATAACTCGCCATTAGACAGAAGCATATTCACCCGAGGTCTTTCATCATCATCATCACCAATAATTCCGCGATCCAAATCCGCCAAGGTCGAAGCCTTTGGAGAAGGCTTCGAATTTTGGTTGGCTGGCTTGAGCTCGATGGAGTCGGAAGCTGCATTACGAAGTAAATTGTTAAATCGTGACTATGTCAGCTGCAAAGGGATTTCGTACCATTGGGAGTCTGCTGGTATTCATCAGAGGTCTTGGATCCCATACTAAGGTACCGAGTGAAGATACTGTTAATTGAGTCTGAAGAGATGTTAATACCGAAGTTGAGGAGATAAATAGATATTTGACTACATTTTTAGTGGAGCTACGCCCTTTAAATGACATCTCGTCAAAAGTACTCATCGCTACTACTGGAACATATTAATAAGAAAAGTGAAATGCTTTGTTATTCAAATTGTGGAAAGTCTATATTTTGATCTATCGGAGGACCAACAATTCCCTAGAGCTTCTATGACAATAGGAAGTACTATGAGTAGGAGCGGAAAGGTTTCAGGGCATTAACGTTAACATTGATCACGTGCACCGACCGTTTGAAAGCTCAAAAATATACCAAACTCTTTTTCCATGTGATTCAGATCATAGAGCTATTATGAGCTATTATAAACTGTTGCTATTGATATAAAACAAGCCGAAACCCGAAGATAAATCGGAATCCAGATGGGTGAGGTGAGGGGACGGATCCCATGTCAACCAACACTACTGCGCGCCTTGCCCCCATCCCCCTTCCCTCCCCACACCCATTACTCCAGTTCGCTGCACTCTACTCCATGCCTACCATACAGGGTTTCGGACCCTGTAGGTACTCCGGTATCCCATACATACCCATGCGTCATATTAACAAATATTAACAATGTATGGCGTCGTTTACGACTCGTATGATAATAGTCTACCCGTGCCTCATGAGCTGCAAATATCACATGATTGAACACTCCAGGGTGGGTCACATGCATCCGCCCAGATCGGTGATAATTTATAACCCACAAATCCACCCCGACCAACTCCACACTTCCAACATCAAATGAAGGGTTCACAATACCAGCCACCAAATTTGCCGGATGTGGAATATGGTACAGCTTATGAAATACGATGGCTGGTAATGATTCCTGCCCGGATGAAGACTGTCTATGATTCTCTACAGCTTAACGGTAACGGCGCAATAAGGTGCATGGGGGGCCCCTCAAAAGAACTGTTCCGAACGGCGCAGGGAGTGATTGGAGGTGCGCCCGGATTTTTGTACTGGAAATGATCATCCACAAACGTTATATGCCTGCGGGAAGTCTACTAGGAACTTCCGCCATGGATAATTTGTCTCCAACAGTTGGGAATTTCAGTGCTTGTTCGGTGAAGGAAGTAAATCGGGAAACCTAGATTAGAGGCTCTCTAGAGAAGTCTTCTTCTGCCGTCAAGTCATTGTTGAATATGACCTTGCTTGGGTTTACTGGATTCAACCCAAATGAGCAGATTAGGCAAATGAAATACCCCAGAATATTTAGGCCGCTCGAAAGCTTGCACTGCTCTCATAGCTAGTGCCGAGGAGGAAATTTGGGCTTTAGTGATCAGTTATTGATTGGCTGTAGTATTGATCGATTTATTAAAATTAATTTAATATGAAATTGAGATTACAAATATCTTTTTTATGATATTAATCAATGTTTAATATTATATTGAAAAAAAATCAGATTATACTTTTGAGTAATATTTTTTAAATACTTTAATAAAACCAAGGGCCAGTACTCTTCAGACTCTTAGTTTTTTAAAATAATTTAATAAAATTTCAAGTTTTAAAAAGAATATTGTTAAATTTAAATATTAAATATATAATTGTTACGAGGTTAGCCGTCTAGATCACGTGGAAGTGCTCTAGGCTCTCGAGGTGATTTATAACTAGGCATCAAGCAGAGACTTAAATAATGACAATAATGGTATACTATTCGTAACTAATAGTAGAGTATACTAAATGATTGATCTTGAGCACGAAGCTCTATACAAAGGAAATCCATCTTGATTATATAGACCTTCGTGTTCTAGCTGATCAGTAGGATCAGTATGGCTCAGTACTGAGCTTGCTGATCCTCACTGAGTCAGTCACATGATATTGGTAACACGTGAGCGTCTTCTTGTTACCCGGCGTAACAGGTGTTTATAGACCAGCAATTGTATTTAACTTAGAATCTACAGGTGAAGAGCACCTGTAGATGGGGATAGCTACTCTATATATACACAAATGAATGGCCTAGCCGCAATGGCTAGGCAAAAAGAAGTCGTATTTATTCCTCCAATGATCTTACTTTACCGATAACCATTGATACCTAGTACTTGTCCGGATCTGATCCTCAGGTCACCTAAATCGCATACTAATCTCGAGTAATCGTATCATGTGTGGACATGGTTAATGCACCCGACGTTTCCTATATAATAAAGGTGGGAGGAAAGCAGGGATTCCGTCACAGTATTATTAATAAAAAATATTTTATTATAAAAATTACGTTTTTGATAATATTGTAAATAAATATAAAATTTGATATCTAATAATAATAATATAATTTATAATACAACAATTTAAAGTATTTATATAATATGTTAAAAGGAATGTTATGACGGGCTACACAACTACCAAGACACGTGATCACGATATAGGTGATCACTGGTGATCATAGAAGCATGAAGGACTATATAATCTAGATGGATTTCCTTTGTATAGAGCTTCGTACTCAAGATCAATCATTTAGTATACTCTACTATTAGTTACGAATTGCATATCATTATTGTCATTACTTAAGTCTCTGCTTGACGCCTAGTTATAAATCACCTCGAGAGCCTAGAGCACTTCCACGTGATCTAGACGGCAAACCTCGTAACATGCCCTGTGCACGTGCTACGCAGGAACCATTCACTTTAACATAATATATATTAATCAATTTAATTAATTTGATTAATTTCTTTTTCTTATCAATAATATAATTAAATTAGAATAAAACAAAACTTGATTAATTTTTAATTCAATTTTATAAATTTTTTTATTATAATTATTTTAAATAATATTTTTTTTTACTATATAAAAGTTTAAAAATTTAAAAATAAATTATAAATTAATATAATTGAAAATTAGTTTTGTATATTGAATATATCTTTTATTTGTTTTTTTTTTTCATATTTTATAAATTTTATTTATTATTTTTTTGATCATTTATATTCTTCATAAAATTAAATTTATTGATAAAATTATTTTAATCGTTTTTGAATAAATTTCAAATATCAAGAATATAAATATTAAATTATTAAATTTCATTATATTATTAATAACTTTTGTTATTATTTATAATATATATATTTTATTGAAGTTGCTCAATAATTCAATATAGTTACTTACAGCCTATACAACATTCCCAAATCAATGGTATCTTTGTATTTTTGACTTAGATAATTATAATAGTATTCTTTATATTTCCCAAACTATTTTAATTTATTATTTTTATAAATATAATATAAAATAATAAAGGAATTACTTTAAATTATTCATAATCATTAATTGATCTTATATATAATACAAAAAAATATAAAAATATTAAGAATAACTTTCCTTCTCTTTATTTTATATTAAATAACAATATATTTAATAAAAAAATTATTTTTAAAAATTATGTTATAAATATCAAATATAATATTCAAAAACAATATAAAATTATATTAATATTAATAGAAATAATTGATATCTTTATTATATTATATTTCAAAAATCTAAATAAATATAAATATATATTTGAATTATTTTAGAAATAGATCTCTTTTTTATAATTATTATTTATGTCGAAATTAAAGTTTTTGTTTTCATTTTAATTCAATTTCATAGTTTTATTTTTATAATTATTATATTTAATTTAAAGAAAATTATATTATAAATTAATATATTTTAAATTACATTAGATTTTAATAATTCTTATATTTCAAAATTCAATAATTTTTATAAAATTAATAATATTCTATTTAATCAATTAAATTTTATAAATAAAAATATTACTATCAAATATAACTTTATAAATTATTATTTATTAATAAAATATAAATTATAGATTTTATTGGATTACCCTAAATTTTTTATTTTATATCAGAAATTTATATAAAATATCGATAATATTATTATATTCTTAATCTCTATTATTATTCTGATTATTATTAATTGAATCTTGAATTTTTTAGATATTATTATATAAAATCTACTTTTTATTAAAAAAAATATAAAAATAATTGAATTTATTTTTAATACCATCTTTTTTAGGAAATCTGGATTATAATATAATTACATTACTATTAATATTCCTTTAAAATTTATAAATATTGATAAAGACTTTATTTTGATAATAAATTCTCTTATTTTCAAAAAAAATAATAATATAAATAAATCTTGAATTTATTGATTATAAATCTTTAAAATATAAAATCAATTTAATAATTAAAAAGATTATCTAGATTATCTTTTTCCTTCTATTTATTTATCTCTTTCAATTTTTCAATTCTAAAAATAAAATAAAGATTATTAATAAAAGAATTATGATTATTTATTATAATATTGATTATCAAATTTGTTTCAATTTTTTTTTTAAATATCTTAGATTTA